AGTAATAATGAGGGAGATTTTTGGTCGTTAAAACAATTTTGTTGCAAGATATCACATACGGTATGAAGTAGGTTATGCTTATTGCCCGTTAGCTTGTCTGGTTGTTCTGATGCTATATACCTTGTTGTCATGTTGGAATTCGACATTAGAGATATTGGTTGACCACGACTTATAATAGCGGATATCGTCGATGCTTATCCATGTTGGAGACTAGGATTCATTATTATTTGTTTGGCTTATCCATCTCATTACGTTATTCGCTCATTTAATTGATTTTCAGCTTTATTTAAATATCAAATTATGTACACATGTCGATATTTTCTTGAATATTTTAATAGTAATATCGGAAATCAGAGAGACGATTTGTCTAGTGCAAATTATACATACATCTGTTTCGGCCAATATTAGACAAGCATGTGATTCAGTCAATTTTAACAGATTTTAATGGCCTGTTAATGAAGCGGTAGACATAAGCATAAGTGAATTACGTGGTTTTATAAATTATTAATCCATTAAATAAAACCTTCAATAAAAGCATTAGTTTCGCTCAGAGTTTTAATGAATTTTTCATGACTAGTACTAAGCTAATGATTACAAACACATAAGCTAAGACTTATTATGAACAGTTATAATTGTGACAGTTAGGTACAAATAAATGGCTTACAAACGCAGGTCTCTATTGACAACAGATTGAGTTGAATTCGAGAGCAAAAGTCCATGAGGTGATCGTTTTGAACGAAGTGCTATGTAAACCTCAGGTCACTAAATAGGAAATGATCGATAAACACATCCAGTAATTGCAGACACGTATAGTGATCACATTCACACGATAAAGTACACGTCTGTCCACCCTATATCGCTTTTATAGAACATGTTGTGGTATACATGTTCGAAACGCAATATTTCAAAATTTCCTATTCATTTTTATCTTAACGGATGATATATATCGCCTTTTGTTTCTATTTTCAGATAAATATCAGTCGTTTACATACATAAGATATATCTGTTAAACGATTGTTTTACTACATTAAGTATGAATTTGTATTTTTGGATATGTTTTTATTCTTGAAGTAGTTCAGATTCACGGATGCGTATGTGTGGTTTTAATGCTCTACACATATCGTGCGATTTGGTGTCTCTACAACCTCTGCACGACAACGCAAGTCAAAGAGAGAAGCACAACCAAATAATGCAGAACTCAAAAAGGGCGTTAAAATATAAATTCAGTGTCTCGTCCATTCCGTCATTACCACAAACATTTGTTCACTCAATTGAGAAAAAAAAACTTACATATGTGTTCTGTCTACGCCCACATAGGAAGGTGTGGTCACGTTCTAGAAAACATGTTGATTGGGAAAATACATCAAAGAGTATAATCACAATGAATTGAAACATTTCAATTCTCAAAATATTTTCACGAATTTAGAAACTACGTTCGCCTAAGACAAATGAAATGTGTTGTTAGCATCATTATTCCAGTCTGGTTGAGTCAGTGTTACTAGCATTTTATTCATTTGGTGTTACGTCACAGTCATGTTAGAATGTATGTACAGGGAAGAGTCTAATTTATCGCTGAGTGATTTGGAATCTTTGTCACCACCGCCTAGTTTCACATCCGCTGACGACCGTCTTACTGATAGTGATGATATCAGCCTCCCTCTGACACACAGAGCTAGCTCTGAATAAGTAAAAGTTTGCAGATAAAGTCAACAATTAGCCATTAGTTGCTAACGATACCACGATATGTCATCCGTCTACCTTCCGACTCCATCAAAGTAGAAACTCGATGTTTGCCTCTGTCATCAAGGGCGCAAGGTGTAGAGTTTAATCCGAAGGTTCCATTTGAAATGAACAACCTCATTAGAATGATGCCACGTCTAATTTGTTTCATTTGTAACCATTTTTGTTGTGATAATGGACTTACTACAAGAAGAGGATAATTGGACACCTATTCTCTTACGTAGAGTGTACGAGGGTTTTGTAAGTAATTAATCAGTGTAAGTTACTTCCCCTGTTGACTTAGTATAAAATATCTTGGAAATTTCAGTAATTAATTAGTTAATATTTAGTATATTGTTATCCTAGGTAAAGGGTACTGGATTTCCTTAATGATGAATTTGTCCAAATTCGTTCCCATCATTCCCATTTTTACGTGAACTGTGATTTCGTCAGTTATTAGTTAGTGCACTGTAGTTGAATTACCATTCCAGTAACTTGTACTAAGGCATCGTCGGTATTAAGGTAATGAACTCTCAGTTTTATACAGGACATGGGAAAGTATGCGATGGAATATTCTAATGCTTGTTTATATACACTCGTCTTTTGTATACTTACGTAATACATTACTTTTATTAATCAGACAACACACTTGTCTTTGGCAAAATTAACTTCTCCCAGTAATTAATAACTGAAGTCTGGTTATTGATTACTTTGTTGGTTTGTTTATTGATAACGTTACATGTGCATTCGGTGATGAATGTTAACAGATGATATTCGATTCAAATATCATTATGTTAAAAGTAATTAACATTGAAATTGACATTATCTCTATTCAGGACTAGGCTTTATTATTTAAGTGATAGTTGTATTAAGAACAGTTTAATTTTTTTAGATAAATTAAAGTTTATATTGTACGATAATTTATTAACCTTGATCAACAACCTTGACTTAACCTTGATTATCGGTTAATAACGAGCGCTTATTTTCTTAAACTGAATAATTTATATTGAATAAATAATCTGTGAACGCTTCATACTTCATACTATATATAAACTATTTGATACATAGCAGTTAACGTTATAAAAACCGTTTCTACCAAAGTTGAAGTAATTATAGCGTTATTACCTATCTTGTTTACATATATATCTACTGATGAATAACGATGTTCATTTCAATTTTAGTGATTATTTAGGAAGGCTATTTTCATTTATCCTCATGAATGACAGTTGCGTGAACTGAGCCAATCATTACTCCAATCTACATCAAAATTATATGTGTGTTTCACGTACGGAATTATAATTTCTGGCATTGGAGAAAAAAATAAATTCCTTCAGAAACAACAACGACAATAAGTACATGTCAACAGAGTCTTAATGAAGGGTAAATCTAGGGCAAGATACGAACAGAAGAAAGATTTACGTGAAGGTTACCGTAAAAAGTTCAAGGAGAATAAGACCAGGTGTTCCGGAATAGTGTACGTCTTCTGCTTCATCGACAACATTCACCAGTCTTAAATCAAGGATAATACAATCGAACCTCGTTATTTCGAAACATTTCGTCTGTCCCTGATGAACTTAGCATAAACCATTCAAACTTAATTGAATATCTCAAAGTTTCCCCAAGGTCCCGCCGAGTTCGAGATAGCGAGGTTTGACAGAATATCAAAACTGACAACGACTTCATTGAACAAAAAACGGATCACTTAAGGAACATTAGGATAACAAAGCGACAGGATATAATTTTCACAACTCAAATATAACTCTCATCATAAACAACGTTTGTTTTATTCTTCAAACGGTGTTGTATTCATACCGTAATTTATATTTATTAAAACACCCTATCTAAATGTGAGAAAACATGTTACCGTATATTTATTCGTTTTATTGAGTGAGCAACACATTTTACAATATTTTATCCCGAAATGTATTTCATTGTATTGTCATGGTTTGTCATAAAGAAGTATTTTTGTTACCAAATATCAGCAGTATGGATTGAACTAGTGTATATATAAATATATTTATGGTAATTTAAAACAAAACAAAATGAAAAAAAATAGCAATAGTGCTACTCATCAAAGACTTCGTCCTTCAGTTTTTAGACTTCAGACCCCAGAACATTCTTTGTCTATAATTTATTGAATGGTCATAATCCAAACATCTGCCCTTGTTTGTTTAAACGACCAAAGTAAACTCTCCTTGACACAATGCAACAAGTACAAGTATGCTCAGCTTCTTTTCACCATTTTGTTCTCTGTTCAGTGAAGAGTTTTCTTGTAAACGTTTCACCAATAATATAACTTAATTATTCCGAATCCTTAGTAAGTTTCTAGCTTTTGAAGAAATTCATTCTTCGTTTGTATGTTGGTATTTTCCTCCTTTACATTGGTTTTTGGCGCATTTGTCTATTAGGAAATATATATATAAATATAGAGAAGTCCGCCCGGAAGGATCGTCCTAACAACGGACACAGCTTTGGTTATAACCCACCCAACGGTGGCATTGCCTAAACCCTGACCTTTAAGAAAGATTGGAATAATTGGCTGGAGTCCTGGTTGTCGGTGTAAATGATTAAGTATTTAAATATGTTATTCTTCAACGGAATGAAAATCGTTGCGCAAGTCTGTCTGGGGGTACTTTAAACGGAATGATTTCTTTTCTTTTCGATGCAGAGGTCTCCTTTATCAATATGTTGTACCAAATGCTATTATTTTTAATGAAATTGCACTAAGGTATTCTCATATTGTGTTTTTCTACTGGATTTATAATACATGACTGTGTCATGATATCATCTTGCTTTTTATAACATTCTCTTTCCTCCAGAATTAATATTCTATTAACAGATAAGCACAACACATTCATTAATTTTGAATGATTCCTACTGAATGAATTGAATTGTAAAGAATACACAAGTTGTTATATTTATTGAAACCTGAATAACTACATTGGTGTAGGACATGTTCGTGGTTTGATATAGGCTTTTTTTCAATATAAGACAAAAAATAGTATTGAAATAAAACAAAAAATGCAATTCTATACTGTGAATATCGCTTTTAAGGAGCTCTATTTTTGTGGATGTAATTCAAACTCGAAAAAATATCATATACAGTGTTTCATGTCTTGAATATTATCCGTTTTATCAATGCACTGATGTAACCGCAAAAATCAAAACCATCGAGTTAAAATGATAACATAAACTACCAGCATTTACACTATTTCGTGATATTATAACTATATATTTAATTTCAAAGCACATTTGTTTATATTTCGAGACTTGTTGATCAGTTACAGCAGGACAAGGTCCCGGAGACAAAACCAGAAGGACCGGTTGTCAGAAGAACCATTCCACTCCCTAGTACCAACGGATTTACTAGCACCGAGAACTTGGTCATGAAGTCTGGCATGGTAGGCTGACTGCTCAATTTCTGATTATTAGCAAATATTTTCATTTATTTATTTATCTAAATATCATACAATACACAATAAAATACAAACAAATTAATAGCATGCGTCCCCTAATAGTTAGTATTAAGTAAATTTGGGTTATTGTCTCTTTCTAAAAAGTGCTGTGTTATATTTGTCTTCAAGCATAATTATGATGTCACGTTTAGCTTAAAGCATGGCTAGGAAAGAGGTGATATCTTGAGTTGGAAGGATTGCTAAGGAAAACATTGAAGTTTTTATGATATACGTAATATTTCTTATAATATTCGTATCTACGTCCGTATTAAAAGAAACCTAATTGTTGTCACCATTTCGGTAAACGTAACAATTTATCTACAACAGTAGCATCTATTCGCACATACAAATACATTTTAAGGTAGAAAAGCTTGTCGCAAACTTAAACAGTTGGTAAGTACACGGTAGTGGAAGGAGGCAAACAAACTGAAACCACTAATCCTTTGTTTTTCTAACTCGCAATAATGAAACCCCAGATCTATCACTACATCAATAGTCCCTTAGTGCTTTGAGAGAAAACGCCTTCACGCCTACAATACATTAAGTCTACATTTGACCTGGACACTGCTTAAAGTATCATGACCTACTGAATATGAAAATGAGACCAGCGTCTTTGATTTTATCTGGGGTCAAAGGAAATCTAATAACTCCCGTATTTGTTTAAGGCTAACCACACTGGGATCGTTAATCCTGCCTTCAGTGAGAATGTCGACAGCGTCAACACAGAGGCGCCATCTTGGAGTGACACAAGTAGTACCAGTGACAACAAAGATCCCAATAGCTCACGTGCATCAACTCTCACGAGAACCATGGACAATGACGCTTTTCCGGAACCTGACCGGAACTACAGCGTAATCAACGAAACAAGGGACTCTACTCTGTAGGTGCCTTTCATAAAACAATTAAAAGAAATTGCTTTGATAAATGAAATACAAAAATAAATTAAAAAAAAAAAACATCAATAGAAGCGATAAAAGTATTATTTTTATGTCTTGTTGTAGAATATGTAAAACATGTTATATAAGTTATAATCGAAATTAAAATTCCTTTTTCATATATTAGAAGAATTCATTTTCTAGGAAAGCTAATCTATACCATTTTCCATTCAGATCGTTAAACCTTGATAAAAAGTCAGCCATTAAACCTTGGGACGTATTTCGGATAACGCCGAGGAAAAGTACCTCAATATTCGATGACTTGTTCGTAAACGTATTAAAAAAGGTTGTCAAGGTGATCGTCAGTATATTTTTGACACTTTTCATCATGATGATGACAATATTGAGTAAGAGTATGTTATTTCTCATAACATCAAACATGTACACGAATGTGACTTTGGATTGCGTGACAACATTGTTGCCAAGGGAAGTGACATCATGTCGTCGGGTACTTCCGGACGAACCACTGAAAGACACGTTTCAATTCTCTCAAAATGTGGAGGTTCGATGGGTGTGGGCTTTGTTCATTGTGGTGTGCACGCCCTACATGTTCACATGCGTGAAATCTCTATGGAGAGTTTGTTTCAAGAAGACACGACACACAAGATGCCGTGTGTTAGCGTTGGTAAGTACACCTTCGATATGTAACGATGCTATGTACAGTAAAAATTCTATATTATAGTATATTCTACCGAAAATAACCTTTGAGAACATTATTCCCAATCAAAAAGTATAAGACTTCCTCGGACTAGCGCTTAAGTCTTCATTGATATGTGTTGTTTCCGGTTTTAGAATTTTAGTCTTTCCTTGATTTAAATCACAATTTTATTAAAATTGAATTCCTTTAATATATTTTCTTGTCCGCATTTGTTTTGCATGCTTATATAACTGATTAAAATGTACATATTCATGCAATGTATTGCCACGTCTAACCTACTAAGAATCTTCGGATATAGCGTTTTAATCCATGAATGGTAATGAAATTCATAGTTATGTTTACTTTTGCATAAATACCAATAAATAATTTTCCAGTTTGTAGATCTCTAAAATACTCATCATTTTATAACTTCTGGCTATATCAACTTTTTTGTAGGTTCTAGTCATCGAAACATTTCACTCCCTGGGAATCAGCATTTTTGCTTTTTACCTACTTCCGACATTAGACCCCGTCAGAGGGCTGCTGCTGACTTTCGGGGTGGCTTTTTTGCCGTCTCTTCTAAAGATATTCGACAACAAGAGCGAGCGCGGTAAACCAGTCTATCTATTGGTAGCTGACTTTGTCGCGATGGTGTTTCAAGCCTCAGTGTTGATCTTTTGGCCAGCAGTGAACTTGACACGTGGTGAAAATCTGAACGAGTCCTGGTCTATACTCGTCTCTCTGTTTCTGATTTCGTTAGGTTGGTGGGAGAATTACATCAACAAATTCACACATTTAGGGAAATTTGGAAACGCTTTAAAGGAATTTAAAAGGAATATTCGCCGTATGAGGACCCGGATTTACATGATAGTCAGTTTCTGGAAGATAGTGGTCACTTTTGGATTTATGCTAGCTCTGATGAGTGAATTCAAAGCTCCATGCGTGGCAGAACTGCTCTATCTTGGTGATGACAAAGCTATGAATTGTCCGCACTTTGTGAATCCTTTAAATGCGGCAAACGTTGAAAGCACAAACTACATGAACGACCCTTTCTGGATAAGTATGGTGCAAGTGTTCTCTTGTCTCTTATGTTACACGTTCGCTAAATCTGCCTGTAAAATCCTCTTGCAAGTTGTCAGTTTTTCTCTACCACTCATGTTAGCGGCTCCCATAATGTTAGGTCTTTTTATGGGGAACTGCGAGTCATTTAAGTTGAATGGATCCACGGGCCCACTAATGCCTGACTACCTATACTGGACATGTGACATACACGGAGTTTCCTATGACTTCCTGGATAGCCTCGTTTCCGACTACTATCTTCCGGTTGCCCTCGGTTGGTGGCTTTCTTTTATGTGGGTAACCTTCCATATATGGATTCCACGTGTGGAGCGATTAGCGCAGACAGAAAGGTAACATATTTATGAGTGCGTTTGTAAATTATCTAGTAAATCACGCACGTATCAGCAAATGTTGAGCTAAAAAATTGTTTTTGTAACCATTTCAAGGAATAAATCAAAATTGTAATTTAAAGCTGACATACGTAAATACAATAAAAGAAAATATCCCAGGTGTTCGCATTTGCGTGAAAGATAATAGCATTGTGCTGCACAACGTCATATCTTATTTTGCTTTTCTAAAGTTATAAATACATTTTTTCTGAATTCATGTATAGTCGTATTCAGCCTAAACCAATTCTTGAAGAGGACAGATCATGACTCCTGTTACTTATTGTTATCTCCCATGATGTATGGCTTTGTAACCGCTTCTCTGAGGGACGTGTGTGATTAATTAGTAAAATAACCGCCCAAAGACTGAAATATTCATTACAGCACTATTTTCAATGGATCAATACGATAAAAAAAATACTAATTCCGTAATCTGTAATCAAACATAACGTTGCACAATGGCGTCGATTTTTTTGTAAAGTTGTTCGATGATAACATGAAATTGGCCAATCAAAATGCTTGTTTCATAGAGAATTATACTATATTTAAGTGTAAGAATTAAATACAGACAATGACAATATGTGGTGACTTTTAGAATAAGTGTTCCTGTAAGTATAGGTACCATTATAGACAAACCATCTACAGATCAAAGTGTACATCTTTATCAATTTATTCATATGTTTATGTTTCAGACTTTTCGTCCAGCCACTATACTGTGGCGTTCTCCTCGAACAATCGTTGATGTTAAACAGGCGTCGAGATGATAAAGACAGAGAATCTCGGGGGTCAGAAAAGGTAAGCTAGGATCCGTTAGTATCAGTAATACATAAAGATTTAATGGTTATATATCAGACATAGTGAATTAACAATTAGAATAAATAAATACATAAATAAATAAATAATAAATAAATAACAAATAAAGATATTGCTGTCGACTTACAAATATATATATATTATATATAGATGTAACTTAAATATGCTTTGTGTATCGATAAAATATTTGATAAAAAGATGGCCGTTAGGCCTGAAAACGTTCGCGGAATACATTTGTGATGTTGATTTTATTCTTTACAAATGTATGCTTTATCAGGTAAAACAGTTCACAGAGGAGAATACCTACATGCCAGCTGACAAGTTTGGACCTAGGATGCCAATTCGGAATTTATCTATACAATCAAACATCACGCCCATGATCTATGTGTGCGCCACCATGTGGCACGAGACGAGAAAGGAGATGAGTCAGATGCTGACATCACTTTTCAGGTACGTTATCCACCCTCCCTCTTCCTCTCTAATCTTTTATTCTGTAATTTGTCTTGCCCTTGAGTGTCCATCTAGGCACCCGTCCTCATATACCGTGTGTATAGCTTATTGGTCCATTTGAACTATTGGTACCACACCAAATATTCAAAACTTAAATCCAGGATTTTATCCACACATTTAATCGTATGAATGTCATACTGACGAGGAATAAATGAAACAATTTCAAAGCAGGTACGCTCAGTCACTAAAATATCTTTTGATTTGAATTGTTGGTCACAAATTCATGTTTAACTTTTCACATGTAAATGTATGATTTGGATGTTTACAGACTGGACAATGACCAGTGTGCTCGTAAGAATGCACAGAAATTTTTCGATGTCGTGGATCCTGATTATTATGAATTCGAAGGTAAATATAATCTGACAGAAAACTGATTGTCATACAAGTCTAAGTACTGTAATGGACATAAAATGCTACTTATATCACCAGCTATTCTTCATTCAAAGTTGTGTGTTTCAATAAGTATATAACATATATTATCAGCGATCAAATTAGAAAGATAAAATGATATATAGGCTTATCACATAATCTGTTTGTTGTCCAGTGAATTCATAAAAGGTGAAAATTTATATTTTTTTTTACATATATATCACTAGTGTAATATGCTATAGAGTATTTTTCATTAGCGGCGCCAGTCAGAAATTGATTGTGATGTCATTCCATGAATTGAAACAAAATGATGGTGCATCTGTTTGAATCTGCCCGCCACTCTCTAACATTAAAATATATCAAAATATACATTTTCTGATTTTTTTCCGTTTAAATGAGAGGTTTCTTAACTTGTTTAATTGAACTTATCTTTATTCAAATTTTTCATTTTTGATCAGCAAAGTTCGCAAAAATGAACAATTCTGAGACTCGTTTTATAGATTTGCCTTTAATACGAAAGATTCTAAAGCAACGGTATACTTAAAATGTTATAATAAAGTATCATTACTCCAAGGTATTACATTATATAGTGTTTCCGATTCGATTGCAGTACACATATTTTTCGATAATGCTTTTGACGCCCACGATGACGACGAGTACGAATATCGAGCAAACACTTTTGTGAAGCAGATGATAAGTGTATTGGACGAAGCGGCTAGGTATGTATCACATCCCCTGCGTTGTTTTGTATTACCATGACAACCGAGTCATACATTCTCTTTTGAAAAATTATGAATTATATATACGTTAATTCTAATGTATAATATACGGAGTTACTCTGATGTATGATTATTCATGATAAAATACCGTCACTTTTCTACATCACGATCCATTAAAAATTTTTCCTCTCACATTTGGTAAAGGAAAAATGTTTTATCTTTGTTTATATGATGGTTGCTATTATTATGACAAAGAGAGCAGTATCGCTGACGTGTTAAGCTTTAGTGACAAACGATGGCGAATGTTAACACTTTCCAGCAGTACTTTGTATATTATGACGGCTGTTTTTATCATTTACAGTAAAGTTCACAAGGTAATGGTGAAGATATCACCCCCGACCAAGTACCCGACACCATATGGCGGCAGGCTGGAATGGACACTTCCCGGGAACAATAAACTTACCGTCCATCTCAAGGACAATGCCAAGATTCGGCACAAAAAGCGTTGGAGCCAGGTATGAATTCATAAATATCTTCTTAAAATTGTTAAAGTTTCTTTAATTTTCGTGCAGTTTGCGTAAAGTGACGTGTTTCTATAGGTTTATACAACAAGACAAAGTTTGTGATTTATTCTACATCTGAACCCTACTGGAAATCTATTAAAAGAGAAAATGAAATAAAAGATTACTTACATGGCGGACCGGACACTGAAACTGTATTAGCAGAATAAAACTAAACCACGTTGGTGTTCAGGTGTTAGACTTCTCTTTCATTGACGACATCTGCCATGCAAATCTCGCCCTATTCAAATATATACGGACATTTATAAAATAAAAAAGACCATGGCGGTTTCTGAAATACTTATTTGATTTTTTCTTTCATTTTTGACAGGTTATGTATATGTACTACCTACTCGGATACAAATTAGTGGCACAACCTCTCGACGCCCGCCGGAAGCAAAAACTGGCTGACAATACATTCATCTTAGCTCTGGATGGAGATGTCGACTTCAAGCCTTCAGCAGTTCAACTCCTCGTTGACCGTATGAAAAAGAACGAAAAAGTTGGAGCAGCATGTGGACGAATTCACCCTATTGGAACAGGTAAGGAATACCTGTACACTGTTACATATATTTTGAATAATGGAAGAGTCTATGTTTGCAGCCGGGTATTTAAAAATCGAATAGATAAGGACAAACTATTATCTAAACGGAGACACTTAAAACGAGGTCAACAAGTTACAATATTTGTGATTTTGATTCTTTTTCATCAACGACATTATCAGTTATAATCGTTACATCCTTCGTATTTACAAAAGCACATTTACTTGTGTTGCAGGTCCAATGATATGGTATCAGAAGTTCGAATACGCCATAAGTCATTGGCTCCAGAAAGCTACAGAACATATGATTGGCTGCGTACTCTGCAGCCCCGGATGTTTCTCGTTGTTTCGAGCCTCGTCTCTGATGGATGACAACGTGATGAGGAAATACACGACACTTTCGTCTAACGCGAGACACTATGTACAGTACGATCAGGGTCAGTCTCATTTCTTTTAATAGCCTGTTTAGATAGACAATTATCTTTATTGTATTATATACTGTGAAATTATTAATCTTCGTGTGTTCTTAGTTCATTTCGTAAGTACTCTAAATACTGTAAATCGTATGTCCACGAAGTGTTAGAATACGTATAAGCAGACCTTTCAGCTATATCTATCTAGAAAGTATTAAGTAACCACAATTTTGTTTTTAAATAATAATAATAATAATAATAAAACACGAAAATTGAACGACATGAGCACATCTTTCTTCAGATAGATATATAAATCAGACAAAGGAATACCCATTCAATTTCCACAGCCTGTTGTCATCCATGTACATGTACCATGTTAACACATCATATATTTTGTATCGTCAACATTTTTTTTATTTTATACTTCAAAAATATCTTGACACCTATCGATTCAGCAAATGAGTTCTTATTCTCTCAAAAGTCAAAAACACTTGATGGGGTCACCATAATTAAAAAAAAATGCGCTAATATTTTACAGTGTCAAAATAGGTAGTTTACCATATACCGATACAGGACACAGAAAAAGATCTGTACACATTTCTTGTAATTGATGATTAAACATATGAATACTGGCGGTTTAAATATATCTATAAACAGTGACTGACCACGCAGACTAATTATTTTCAGTACGATAAAGAAATGTTTTGAGAATGTTGTGTTTTTCTAACCTACAGGTGAAGACCGTTGGTTGTGTACATTGCTGCTCCAGCAAGGTTACCGTGTTGAATACTCCGCTGCCGCTGACGCGTTGACCTATGCCCCGGAAGGATTTAATGAATTTTACAACCAGAGAAGACGATGGGCACCATCAACTATGGCCAATATCATGGACCTGCTAATGGACTGGAGAAATGTCATCTCCATCAACGAAAACGTGTCCGGCCTGTACATGCTTTACCAGCTGTTACTATTTATATCGTCCCTCGTCACCCCCGGAACTATCTTTCTCCTAATTATCGGTGCTCTCAATAGCGCATTCCGAACTGACCTCGTCACCTCTCTGATGATCAACCTCACACCTGTAGTGCTGTTCCTTATTGGGTGTTTTGTTTTAAAGCCGAAATGGCAGGTGAGCAATAAAAAAAGTATGCCACAGGACTGAATTAAATGTATAAAGACTTAAAGGATAAGAGCTATTGACATACAGTGTGTTTAGTCAAACACTTAGACATACATTTATCAGCATTAAGTATTGTTACGTGATTTTATTTAAAACGAACGAATGATATTTAAATGATATATGTAATGATATGTTTTGTTGTAAAAGGACTTCATATACACACGTTTCATTATTTCACGGACTAAATATTCGCTCTATACCCAAATTATCATTCTCGCGAAAACAACCAATAATACTGTATATAGCATAAAAAACCCATCACACACGGGTTACTTCATCATTCACATATTGTGAAACAACACTTATCGCTTCTTGACTCATAATTCGTGGAGTAACATAAGTTTTATTTTCACAGCTCCGCCTCGCTGGTGTGCTATCATTGATCTACTCCATGGTGATGATGGTGGTCATTGTTGGTCTTGGTTTGGAAATCAAACGAGAGGGAATTTGTTCACCGACCACCATATTCCTTCTTTTCCTCGTGGGAGCGTTTATCCTTGCCGCTGTCTTCCATCCTCAGGAATTTACGTGTTTGTTGCATGGCGCCCTCTATTTCCTGGCAGTACCAAGCATGTCTATGTTGCTTATGATATATTCTATATGTAACATGCACGTTGTTTCCTGGGGAACACGTGAAAATGCCGTTGCTACAAATCCCGCGGAGCCAAAGAAAGCCGGCAAATCCAAAAAGTTAACATCCATAATGGATAAATTCAAAAACAAGAACCAGGAAGATAGCGACTATGCATTTTCTTTCGGGAACCTATTCAAGTGTCTGTGTTGTCCCAAAACACAACAAGACCAGACAGGAGATACGTTCGCCGCCATTTTAGAGAAGCTCGATAGCCTTGAATCAGCTATATTTAAGAAAAAATCTACAGTTCAATCTGCTGATGCTGGAACACACGTGACAGACGAGGATTTTAACGGAAAGGGGACATTGGATAATCGGAGACGTTCGGACGAGTCCGGTATCCGATGTAAGTACAATAGTCAATGTAGCTCCATTTTCTCTTATTTGATATTGCATTAGAGTCAGCCGGTATGAGGTTAAGGAAATCAGTAAAATATCTTATCTAACAAGTCATACTTGAAAAATTCGAGATTCATTGGCATTTTTTAAAAAAATCTGTGAACCACTGATAGGGTCAGGAGAGGTTGTATTTATGATTCAATCTGATTAAAATGCAGATTCTAAGTCTTGATCCAGGGAGACTGACGAAAAAACAATGAGGATCTGTATTCTTAACAAATTGTTTAGGGTTCGTTTACCAAGAATTATCATGTGATGTTGTACGGATTTGTAGAGTACACCACGTGTGCACCATCCTATCAATATCAGTTAAAATACACAATGAAAGTAGTGATTTAATTTTCACTAAACTAGTTTTAATTGTTCAATAGATAAAGTTGTCTCCCCTTACACATTAATTCTTAACCAACGGAGCAGAGGTACACAGCAGCTGGGATTATCTCCCCTGTGCCAGTTTTTGTTCTATTTTGAATGTTTAAGTCAGATTATCTCCCCTTATGCCTATCAAACAATGCATGTAACGTATTTCGCACATTACAATGTGACCTAATGGATAATATAATTGTTCTATGTGCATATTTAATATTTTTAAGCAGTAAAGATTATTCAGGTTTATCTATTTTGCTTGGTGATAAAGCACACATCATTATTCCTGTTGTGAGAAAATAAGATTCATTTGAACTTATCTCCCTTTCCTACTGACTATTCCTCTCTGCCAACAGATAACCCGATCTACCATAATAAAGCCATGCCTCACGAGGATGATACGCCATTTTGGATCCACGATCCTGACATTGGACATGGAAAGATCCGTTACCTCAACAAAGACGAGAAGTCATTTTGGAAAGACTTGGTTTCAAAATATCTCTTCCCGCTGGAAAGTAACGAAAGCCAAAAGAAAAAAATGCAGAAGGATCTTATTCAGCTTCGGAATAAGATAAGCTTGATGTTTTTCATGATAAACGCACTGTTTGTGATTATCATATTCAGCTTGCAATATTCCAATGCTACCAGTATAAACGCAGATGGAACACCGGGTTCTGGCCTAGCTATTCCTCTCCCGTGCAGGGACACGGAGACAGGCAAACAACTTTCTCTGGAACCTATTTCTCTTCTGTTCATGGCGGTGTTTGGTATTGCACTTGTCATCCAGTTTGCTGCAATGTTCTTCCATCGTCTGGCGACCTTCCTGCACATTATGGCCTCGACAGAAGCTAACTGTATGAAGCCGAATCAGACTGAAATCGCCCAGATGGACATAGCTAGTAAAGTGCAGTTAGTGAAAGAGATGCAGAGTTTCGTTGATGATGATGACACCAGGTCTATCTCAACCACCGGAAGTGATCTAGATGAGGATAGCAGTATAACTTTAGACGATTCTCCAAAGATCAGACGAAGAAAGACGATTATACGGTTGACGAAGAGAAAGCGGCGGCAAGGTCCTCAGGCTGGAAGTCTTGGGGGAAAGTTCCTTAACAATTTCATTGAATTTGCCAAGGATCTTGAGAAACGAGGAAGTGAAAACAGCAATAGCGGCGCCAGGAATAGGAGGAAAGGTAGTGACAAAAAGAGGAGCAAGAAGGCCCAAAGGGCGTTAGAGTCTCTGGAACAAAACAAGGAATCAGTTATACATAAGGCTGAAGTCATCAAAGACAGATGGAAAAACTTAGCCACAAAAGCCAAATACGAGGGCCAAGGTAACAACTGGGGATCTTTATTAAGATCGGTAATGGGCCAATCTCGTACGAGCCTCAACACTATTTCCGAAGATGACAAGCGAAACTCGTGGTTCCGAGGTTTTGTTAAGATGACCAGATCAAACAGTGAATTTTCGTTACCAGATATGGGTTCGTGGTCAAACAGGAATAGCTACGCTGAGCCTATTTTCAATATCATCACTGACGGTATAGGACCAACAGACGCATTACGTCAAAAAGACAACGTGAAATCTATCGGTGTGATTAACAACGGCAAACATGACAGAAACATGGATGTTATTATTGAAAGTGCCTCTCCCACTCGGAAGGCTGAACACATTTATGACACAGCCGATGGTGGGGCGGGAATCGTGAATGATTCAGACTCTGAAACCGAGGCTTCGGATGCCTCGTCCTCACGGCATGTGCCGCGTGACAATGATGTTGAATTAAGACGGGTGACATCCACAGAGCACAAACTTTCGAACGACACAGGTGATACACAATTATGATCTTGGTCGTGAAAATGCTTTTTGTCGGTGACATTATTTTAACTTATATATACCACTATATTGTTAAACTCGTTGTCTTTCAAAAAGTGCAACATTAAAACATGTCATGTTCGTCATCATACAATAACACCAAATTTCATTGTGCCATGTAGTAAATTTGTTATTTGTATTGTTAAAGTTGGTGCTTAAGTGGTACGTTTTGTACTGAAATGTATCCTATACGTGTATATTTGATATGACCATTACATTTGACCTTTCAAGCATTAAATTGCTTTCGCAATAGTTGAAAAAAAAAACCCGCTGTAAATATATATATATATAAATGCATTACATTAAAAATTCTGATCATGTGAAAACCTGCTTTTAATTAAGAAAAGTACATCATTTAATTTGTTGTTAAAATTTTGCAGTTTTTTCTGATCAATTATGATATGCAGAATTAAAAACCTTAATTCTACATGCCTTTGGGTTGTTATATAATCCACTCAGGCATATACTATTTTTAGACTTTCGAACACGTGCTTTTGGTGACGTGTGCTAATTCTAGGTGCTTAGACAATTTATTAAGTTTTGATTTCGTCACTTCCGGTTTAGGTTTTCTGCAGAAACATTTAAGAGGGACAATGCCATGTTGGTTTCAATCAAACAAATACATTTCTTTTTTTACCCTGTATATGACCCCTTCCTCTTAATTATTAGATTCGGTACTTTTTATCATGCTTTAAATCATTTATTTTTCTCACGGTTATTTTTACAATTTTGCAAGTTTTACAATTATTTTTAATCTCAACATTATATTTCTCGTAACAAAACATCGTCGTGAACTTTTTAAGCGAGAGTATTTTTTTTTTTTTTTTTTTTAACTTTTCAGTTCTAACGCATTCCTTTTAGTAAGGCAATTATTGAACATTGCAATGAAAAGTAAACATGTACAAGTATTTAACGAACAAAAGATTTATTAACAACTCGCCATTTTGTCTTGGTCAGTTAAAACGCGCAGTAATATTATATAAAACTGACTTCGATTTAAATCGATATTTTGACATTAAATTGATTCCGAAACATATATGCAGAAAACTTTGACTACCCCACCCATGATATTTAGTATGCATGCATGTCCACGTGACATAAGCGTACCTCGGGTCTGATTGATATTACACGTGTGAATAATTGATTTGTATGAAAGTTATTTATGTGTTTATAACATTTTCGTTTAATATTCTATTTACGTATGAAAAAAACCCAACAATTTCATTCGTTTCCTGAAATGATCATGTATACCTATGCATTCTAATTTTGATTGCTTAAAACATTGCTAGATATCTATATTAGTGAAATGTTAAAATAAAAATCAAACGACTATTGAAAAATCATGCTCGTTTCACATTATAGTTCTGTCTCATTTTGACGTGCGCTCTTTATTGTATATTTTTAAAAATAATACTTTTGATTCTTTAGATCAATTTGAAAAAAAGGCTCCAAGAAAACATGATAATGAAAAATGCTGTCAAAAGCTGATTAGCTGAGAATCGCAGCTGAGCATTCTTGTACCATAGGCGCGATGTGTATATACTGAACAAAATAAGTTAAGGATCATAAACTTGAAACAGTGCAGTTTTACATACAAATAATAATATGATTATATTTTAAATTTTAATGACAGAACATTCATTTTAGTCTTTAATTACACAAAACAAATTCATTTGTGGTAATTGCTACCAAGAGCAGATAACCTTGAGTAACAGCACCCTTGAAATCAAAGTGTAAGAGGAAGTAGAGCAAGTTAATCATGTAGACAAGGAAAACTCATCAAACTGCAATTGGCAGTTTAATAGGCAGTATGACCTCCGTTGACATCAATAACTGCCCTGCAACGTCTGCACATGCTCCTTATTAGTCGTCGGTGGCTGATCTGTGGGATGCGCTGCCATTCCTCTTGCAGAGCAATCATAAGCTGTTGGCGGTTCTGTGGCGGATTAGGTCGAGCTGAAACCCGGCGTTGCAAGGTGTCCCAAGCATGCTCGATAGGGTTCAGATCAGGAGAACGACTTGGCCAGTCCATGCGAACGATTGCTTCACGTTGAAGATAGTCGTTGACCACACGAGCACGGTGAGGACGAGCATTATCATCCATCAGAATAAAATCATGGCCAACAACTCCTGCAATGGGCCTTACTATAGGGTGTAGAATCTCGTCCCTGTATCGAACAGCTGTTAAAGATCCATTGTCTATGATGTAGAGGTCTGTATGGAAGTCAACACTGATCCCTGCCCAAACCATCACTGACCCACCACCAAAGCGATCATGCTGGACAACACAGCAGTCTGCATAGCGCTCTCCTTGGGTTCTCCATACCCTCCTCCTACCGTCATGGAAGTCAACACAAAACCTAGACTCATCTGTGAACATAACATTTCTGCAATGACGTAATTGCCAATTCAAATGATGAGTGGCCCATTGATGTCTGGATTGTCGATGACCTCTGGATAAAATTGGTCGGACTGCTGGTCTTCTAGCTCGTAAATTAGAGGCATGGAGTCTGTTTCTGATTGTCTGGGATGAAATCCTTAGATTTGTAGCACGCTGAAACTGAAGATTCAAGACAGGAGCACTCAAAAACCGCTGACGTCGTGCCGTGATGCAAATGAATCTGTCCTGTCGGGCTGTCGTACAGCGTGGTCGTCCAGATCTGGGGCGTTGACGGACGTTATTTGTCTGTTGATAGCGATTCCATAGCCTACTAATCACGCTCTGAGAAACATGAAGCTGTGCCGCCACATTTCGTTGAGTTTGACCAGCTTGAAGGAGCCCTATAGCTCGCGCGGCTTCCATATCATTTAAATGTCTTCGCATGATTAGTTTTTCAAGTTTTCGTTACAAATTGATTAAATGTTTCCAAATTCAACTTTTTTTAGCTTAGAAGTAACAGAATCAAAACCTGCAAGATTCCTCTGTAGTAATAGACCAGTCAGTTTTTCACACCACCATAGTTAACTAGAGCGGAACGGCAAGACCTTCAGATGCACGTGCTTTCACCTTTGACATGACTTTAGGTACATATTGGAGAAACTACGAGTGCAATTACCGGCAATACATGATTTGAATTTTTAAAGATATTATGGTCACAATTTATGATCCTTAACTTATTTTGTCCAGTATATATATTGTCATTAGGATGTGTAAAATGAAACCCTATCTGGAACGTTAGAGGTAAATTAAGAATTATGATATAAACGGTATTTAAGCTATGAGATGATAAGATGTCAAGCATGAAATGACAGTTCTGATACCCAGGTGCTTTTCAGTCAAATTAGTCTTTCTACAGAATAGTATAGAAATGAAATTACTTGTGCTATATCAAGGTAACACTGATTTTTAAAGGTGCGATACCTAGAATATATCATTGTGTATTATTTTTATAACGAAAATGTTGATGTTTCCCGATAAGGTCTAGATATATACTGTTTGGTACTTGCATATAAAGAATGTTTTCTTTTATTCTTGAAATTATAAGATTTTTGTTGTGTTTTGTATATTTGTTTGTTTGGTTTTCGTAATTTGTAACATGTTCAGTCTAAACGATATTTACACATACATTTCTTTCAATAAAGATTAATCAAAACTTTGTTGTGTTTTGCATGAACGAATTCTTTCCATCATAAGCACAAAAAAAATTCTGCTTAAAACTTTCTCTTTAAAATGAAATAAACAAGGTCCACCTCCGATCCAGGTTTACCTCTGATACAGGTTCACCTCTGATACAGGTTCACCTCTGATACAGGTCTACCTCCGATACAGGTCCACCACCGATACAGGTCCATCTCTGATACAGGTTAAACTCTGATACAGGTCTATACAGGTTCACCTCTGATACAGGTCTACCTCCGATACAGGTCCACCACCGATACAGGTCCATCTCTGATACAGGTTAAACTCTGATACAGGTCCACCCCTTATACAGGTCCACCTCTGATACAGGTCCACCTCTGATACAGGTCCATCTCTGATACAGGTTAAACTCTGATACAGGTCCACCCCTTATACAGGTCCACCTCTGATACAGGTCCACCTCTGATACAGGTTCACCTCTGATACAGGTCTACCTCAGATCCAGGTCCACCTCTGAAACAGGTCCATCTCTGATACAGGTTCACCTCTGATACAGGTCCCCCTCTAATACAAGTCCACCTCCGATACAAGTCCACCTCTAATACAAGTCCACCTCCGATACAGGTCCACCTCCGATACAGGTCCACCTCCGATACAGGTCCATCTCTGATACAGGTTAAACTCTGATACAGGTCTACCTCCGATACAGGTTCACCTCTGATACAAGTCCACCTCTAATACAAGTCCACCTCTAATACAAGTCCACCTCTGATACTGGTCCACCTCAGATACAAGTCCACCTCTAATACAAGTCCACCTCCGATACAAGTCCACCTCTAATACAAGTCCACCTCTGATACAGGTTCACCTCTGATACAGGTCTACCTCAGATCCAGGTCCACCTCTGAAACAGGTTCACCTCTGATACAGGTCTACCTCAGATCCAGGTCCACCTCTGAAACAGGTTCACCTCTAATACAAGTCCACCTCCGATACAGGTCCACCTCCGATACAAGTCCACCTCTAATACAAGTCCACCTCCGATACAGGTCCACCTCTGATACAGGTCCGCCTCTGATACAGGTCTACCTTTGATACAGGTCCACCTCCGATACAGGTTAAACTCTGATACAGGTTCACCTCTGATACAGTTCTACCTCAGATCCAGATCCACCTCTGAAACAGGTTCACCTCTGATACAGGCCCACCTCTGATACAGGTCCACGTCTGATACAGGTCTCCCTCATATACAAGTTCACCTTCTGTACAGGTCCACCTCTGAAACAGGTCCGCCTCTGATACAGGTCTACCTTTGATACAGGTCCACCTCCGATACAGGTTAAACTCTGATACAGGTCAATCTCTGATACATGTCCACCTCTGATACAGGTCCACTGATATAAGTCTACCTCCGATACAGGTCCACCTCCGATACAGGTCCACCTCCGATACAAGTCCACCTCTGAAAGAGGTCTACCTCTGAAACAGATCCACATCTGATACAGGTCCACCACGGATCCTTGCTCGCTCCCAATTCTTTCCATGGGCACGACTGAATTAAGATTAAGGAGTGAATGAAAATATCAATGAATAATTACATATGTAGTTAATGAGGATATGACTGAAAATGAGTCTATGATATCGTTTACATTAACTTAATCATTAATCATCAGGGTAGCTTCATCTCCAAGCGTCGGGTTCTTGATGAGGGAGATGTACTGTTAATAACGTTCCCTATGGCGTCCACACAGCAAGGGAACAACCCAATATTTCCTCTTGGTATCCTTCTTTCTCCTTATCTTCTAAAGTGTGTCTAAGTGTAATTTTTGTGAGGTTTGTATAGGCCTAACCTATAGTGGATTTTTAGAGACGGATTTGTATAGATCTAGACAATAGTGTATTTCTAGGGAGGGATAGATCTAGACTGTAGTGTATTTCTAGACAGGGATTTATATAGATCTAGACTGTAGTGTATTTCTAGAGAAGGATTTGTATAGATCTAGACTGTAGTGTATTTCTAGAGAGGGATTTGTATAGATCTAGACTGTAGTGTATTTCTAGAGAAGGATTTGTATAGATCTAGACTGTAGTGTATTTCTAGAGATAGATCTAGGGATTTGTAGAGATTTGTATAGATCTAGACTGTAGTGTATTTCTAGACTGTAGTGTATTTCTATGGAGGGATTTATATAGATCTAGACTGTAGTGTATTTCTAGACAGGGATTTATATAGATCTAGACAGTAGTGTATTTCTAGACAGGGATTTGTATAGATCTAGACTGTAGTGTATTTCTAGACAGGGATTTATATAGATCTAGACTGTAGTGTATTTCTAGACAGGGATTTGTATAGATCTAGACAGTAGTGTATTTCTAGAGAGGGATTTGTATAGATCTAGACTGTAGTGTATTTCTAGACAGGGATTTGTATAGATCTAGACTGTAGTGTATTTCTAGACAGGGATTTGTATAGATCTAGACTGTAGTGTATTTCTAGACAGGGATTTGTATAGATCTAGACTGTAGTGTATTTCTAGACAGGGATTTGTATAGATCTAGACTGTAGTGTATTTCTAGACAGGGATTTGTATAGATCTAGACTGTAGTGTATTTCTAGACAGGGATTTGTATAGATCTAGACTGTAGTGTATTTCTAGACAGGGATTTGTATAGATCTAGACTGTAGTGTATTTCTAGACAGGGATTTATATAGATCTAGACTAAAGTGTATTTCTAGGGAGGGATTTGTATAGATCTAGACTGTAGTGTATTTCTAGACAGGGATTTGTATAGATCTAGACTGTAGTGTATTTCTAGACAGGGATTTGTATAGATCTAGACTGTGTATTTCTAGAGAGGGATTTATATAGATCTAGACTATAGTGTATTTCTAGAGAGAGGGATTTATATCTAGACTGTAGTGTATTTCTAGATTTGTATAGACTGTAGTGTATTTCTAGAGAGGGATTTGTATAGATCTAGACTGTAGTGTATTTCTAGACAGGGATTTGTATAGATCTAGACTGTAGTGTATTTCTAGACAGGGATTTGTATAGATCTAGACTGTAGTGTATTTCTAGACAGGGATTTGTATAGATCTAGACTGTAGTGTATTTCTAGACAGGGATTTGTATAGATCTAGACTGTAGTGTATTTCTAGACAGGGATTTGTATAGATCTAGACTGTAGTGTATTTCTAGACAGGGATTTGTATAGATCTAGACTGGTATTTCTAGATTTGTATAGATCTAGACTGTAGTGTATTTCTAGACAGGGATTTGTATAGATCTAGACTGTAGTGTATTTCTAGACAGGGATTTGTATAGATCTAGACTGTAGTGTATTTCTAGACAGGGATTTGTATAGATCTAGACTGTAGTGTATTTCTATGGAGGGATTTATATAGATCTAGACTGTAGTGTATTTCTAGGGAGGGATTTGTATAGATCTAGACTGTAGTGTATTTCTAGACAGGGATTTGTATAGATCTAGACTATAGTGTATTTCTAGAGAGAGGGATTTATATAGATCTAGACTATAGTGTATTTCTAGAGAGAGGGATTTATATAGATCTAGACTGTAGTGTATTTCTAGAGAGAAGGATTTGTATAGATCTAGACTGTAGTGTATTTCTAGAGACGGATTTGCCTCTACATCTAATATTGGATACATAATCAAAAATTAAAAAAGATATATTTGTACCCTCTCCTACCCCCCTGTTTTCATGGTTGCTGCTGAATGACGTCTCAAATATTTTGACGTCATTATCTCATGAATATTAATGGTTTGAACGATTCATCAGGCGTGACGCGAAACGCTTGGATGAAATGACTGCTTCGTACACTCATAAAAAGTTGCATTGACAAAGAATCCCAGGGCTGATGTCAGATATGTACTGGTAGAGAATGTGATCTATGAGTCATGGGTATTTCGAACACGTTGTTGATCATGAATGTCGATTTGACCGGAAGTTGCGAGGTCTAAATTCCGTTTATCGGTAGTTTCCTCACTGGGTAGTGAAATAAAGGGCAAAGCTGTACTCAAAGTTTTTTTTCTGACAATAAGAAACATTTCTCGTGGAGGACCTTAATGAAGATTAATTTTTGTGAAAGGATATAAACAGTATATTCCATGCCTCGTGCCTCTGATCATCTAGATGGTGTATGGCTGTTACCGTAATGCAGTGAGGTGTGTTTTTTTGTCTACACCGTTTGATTTACATTTAAGCATTGAACTGTTACCAAATGGTAGTATACAGTCGATATGAATACAATTTTAAATTTTAGATAAAATTGGATTGTAGGTATGCCAACTGTTTATCTATTGCTACTGGCGGCCATGTTTGTTTACATTGGAGACTATATTCATACACTGACCTCATCACTGTAAATTGTAGCATTTAGTCCCATGCACTACACTTTGGTGTACTAATGACATACAGGCAAATAAAACACAGAATGTAAAAATAACCTCGTTATATTTATGCTCTGTAATGTTACGTTGCAATGTTATCTATGAATGCATGACGTCATTTGGTCATATAAAGTGACGTCACAATAGGCTATAACACATAATATGCAAAAATATGACCTGAGTATGTTCACTGAATGACAAAAGATTAATAAAACAAATCATGTTGTTTATTTTCCCTTTAAAGTATGTTGCAAGTCCTACAGACATTACACTTAAATACCTACTTTGAAATATATGTAATTTGACAACTTAAACTGCACTCTTTGTAAATGTAAAAAAAAACTAAACAAATAATCAATTGGCGATGATAATGTTGTAAATAGATGGAGGTAGTTTCGTTAGTTTCGTCAAGTTAAGTTCAAATACGTGTTAAATGTCATATTTCCACTTTTTTATATGTTTTGCCCTCAATTTGATACCAAGATACATTACATTTTCTAATTGACTCATAATTTACCGTTGTTTGGACTAAAAAGGCCAACTGGCATCTGTAAAGAATTTGAAAAATGTTATAGATAGTTCTGTAAAATTCCTGAGATAAGAATTAGAAACATCGTTAGTTAACGGGAAGGCATCAGACATAACCTGAATGATCTAGTCGCTCTATTTAACAAGCCTGTAAAAAGATGTGTAAACCTTCCGCGTTTTGTCTGCGCGACTGTGATTGACATTTCTATATCACTTCGGATTTGTAAGACACGGGCTGCAAGCGGTCAGCAAATTTTCTGTTATAATATTGCACAATTGGATCTACAATGATCGCCAGTGTTGGGTAAGTTTGTATATTTCTTAAAACTTTCACATAACGTCAGGTACATGTGTGTTAGGGATTCACTGTGGAATCAGTGAGTTGTTTGAGATTGGTTCGAAATCTGTGTGCCCCAAGGATAATACAGGTGAAAGTGGTGGCCTTCCGTTTACTTGATTTGGCCCAAAGTGTAGATATCTGACCATGAGACCTGAATATGTACGTCAGTGACGGTTTCCAACTTTCTTTTATGATCTGTTGTTTACTTAAATTTCATTATTATTGATAACAGCAGAGGTTGGAAGTCAGCATATATTTCACCTGGATCTATCGATCCGAGTTGTATAAACACGAGTTAAGTACATACGTATTAAGTTTATATAAAAGTGTATTACGATACAGCTTGCCGTCATTTTAAATAGGAGGGAGAGATTCGATTGAAAACATTTTTTACATCATCAAAATATTGTCTCCGTTCATGACCACCTATTGATGTCATTGGTAAATGAAATATTGGCAAACGAGCTGGCCTTCAAATATAAGTTGTAGATTCTTTACATCTTACATCAATTAAATTAAGATAAATATAGTATTTCAATATTCATTTTTTTTTTTTTTCATTTTGAATTATTTTTAAACCTGAAGTATCCTTATCTAATAGACGCTTCACACTTATAATATGGAACGGCATGAGACGGGCCTTATGTTCAGTTAAGTGCGATCAGCTACAACATGGAGACATCAGCACAAAATTACTCTGTCACGCGGCAATAAAGACAACAGAACTAACCATAAACAGGTACACATTTTGCCACACGGGTCGACAGGACCTTGCGTCCTATACACATAGATATATTTTTTCTTATTTCTAAAAGCTGGTGATTTCCCAAAGTGATTATCATAATACACGGGTGAACATATCTCATGTTGATGTTGACTGATGTAACTAAAGTAAATTACGGATTATTCTCCCCTTCCCTCTTAGATCTATCCAAATTAATTTTGTTGCGTCTATACAAATTCATTGCTTGTGTATCGTTAACGATACATGATTAGGGAAGTGTGGGTAATTGGTAATCATCCTTGTAAATGGAGGAGGTACATTTCCTTAAATATTCAAGTCCGTTAAAAATCTTCTACTTATTGTCTGTCGACAGACACTTAATTATCTGTCTACTGACACATAATTATCTGTCGGCTGACACATAATTATCTGGCGCCTGACACATAATTATTTGTCGACTGACACATAATTATCTGGCGGTTGACACATAATTATCTGTCGACTGACACATAATTATCTGGCTGTTGACACGTAATTATCAAGCGGTTGACACATACGTATCTGCCGCCTGACACATAATTATCTGGCGGTTGACACATAATTATCTGTCGACTGACACATAATTATCTTGTAGTTGACACATAATTATCTGTCGACTGACACATAATTATCTGTCTACTGACACATAATTATCTGGCGGTTGACACATAATTATCTGTCGACTGACACATAATTATCTGGTGACTGACACATAATTATCTTGTAGTTGACACATAATTATCTGTCGACTGACACATAATTATCTTGTAGTTGACACATAATTATCTGTCGACTGACACATAATTATCTTGTAGTTGACACATAATTATCTGTCGACTGACACATAATTATCTTGTAGTTGACACATAATTATCCGTCTACTGACGCATAATTCTCTGGCGAACGGTATTTAATTATCTGACAGTCGTCAGATAAGTGGCAGCCACCGGGCGATCATGTGGCGGTTGACAGATAACTTATCGTCATAAGTGGCACTAGCAGGTTTCCTTAAGCTTTTCTGTAACTATTCATCAACAAAATTTACACTGCAATTTCAGACGTGATGACAGACTCCCTTCTAAAACATTCAGGTAGAACCTAGACGAGTATTTGTACATATTTACGTAACATGAGTCATACCAATAAGATTACTTCATTGTACCCCTGTAAAACGAGAAATGCTGAATTATGTAATAATCAAAAGGCCGGCTACATTGACAATGATAATCCGACATCCGTGAATAACTCTGATATATCGCTAACCACAACTCTATGATTACTACCGTCACCGTTAAAAACATCCAGGATAAATTTATCATTTCCTGCTTCTATATCATTTGTCTCTTATAATCCTTAGTTTACACAACCCCGCCTATCTTTAGGTGTAATCTCACGAACGATCGCCGGTGTTCAAGATGTGTCACGGACGTTTGTGGGTATTATAGGTGTTGTCTCACGAATGGCACTGAGTGTTAAGGGTGTCGTCTCACAGACGTCTATCAATAAATTCATACTAACAGAGGTACCGGCCTCGTCTGTCAATACACTCATACTAACAGAGGTACCGGCCTCGTCTGTCAATACACTCATAGTAACAGAGGTACCGGCCTCGTCTGTCAATACACTCATACTAACAGAGGTACCGGCCTCGTCTGTCAATACACTCATAGTAACAGAGGTACCGGCCTCGTCTGTCAATACACTCATACTAACAGAGGTACCGGCCTCGTCTGTCAATACACTCATACTAACAGAGGTACCGGCCTCGTCTGTCAATACACTCATACTAACAGAGGTACCGGCCTCGTCTGTCAATACACTCATATTAACAGATTTACCGGCCTCGTCTGTCAATACACTCATACTAACAGAGGTACCGGCCTCGTCTGTCAATACACTCATACTAACAGAGGTACCGGCCTCGTCTGTCAATACACTCATAGTAACAGATGTACCGGCCTCGTCTGTCAATACACTCATACTAACAAAGGTACCGGCCGCGTCTGTCAATACACTCATACTAACAGAGGTCCCGGCCTCGTCTCTATCGCACGTGCGATTCTATCGTTGTTGATTTAGATTTAGAAATGACTAATAAATAAGATTTAAGAGTCTTTTTATTTTCTAAGGATATACAACTAAGTATATTTCGTAATCAAACCATTGATTTATCGGTTGGACACTTGTAGATAAATCAGATACACACTGACTAGTTAGATACACTTGTAGTTTTAAGTGTTTTGTTTACAAAGAGTCACACTTGACCAGCCTTAGTGTACGGACACACATTGTATATACATTATATGTAAACATCTCTTAATGTCTCAGCAATACATCATTTAAAATCTCATAAACGGCTATGTTCAAAATATAAACTTTCTACACATAACATTAAGTATCGATTGATTACAACTCTTTTTGAAACAAAAATTCGATCGCTTTAATTAATTCATAAAAACAAAATTCTTTTCGATATGAAAAGAAAATTTTGGGAAATTAACATTCTTACCTTTGCAATTTTGTTTAATACTTTTTTTTTAATTTATTTATGTAAAATATTTCGCTCCGACCACAGTATCATGTGTTACATGGCCCCCATGCTATGCAGTATATATAAGTTCTTGTTACCAGTTAGCTTCTGATAATGATAATTGTAATAATTCTCGTATCTTTTCTCTAAGTTAAAAGAATTTCTAAACGTAGAATAAACTCTGCGGTAAAATTGCTCGTTGTGATGGTGGTAAAGGTCGTGCTATCTAGGACAGGTCTGTTGATCAGCGATGTGCTAGAATGACCTACGGTCTACACATTAAGTGATCACTTGAGGATATGAAAACTTATGTAACATTTTGTATACAGCACGATAGTTAAACACTCTCATCCTGAAAGGGAATTACACACACACTTGTACTCTGTATCCATTGTAAACGATATTTATTTTGTGAGAAACGAACGATAAGGTCAGGGCGGTGTATTGATACCATGTCTACCCATTCTCGTTGAATGTCGCTTTAATCTTAAACAGTTACATTTCTTGGTTAAATTTCTTACTGAATCGTGTATATCTGGACACATGCCGAATCGCCATCTGTTTAAATAAAATTCGTATCTAGATTTTATCAATTTTTACCCAGGCTAAGCACTAAAATTTAAATGTCCGAGAAACGTCATGTTCTTTTACACTGAATTCAAACGCACAGCTGACGACAAATCAAAATCAAGCTATTCTATGAGTACGATTGACATTAGAACATAAATGTCCAAACAGAACAATGAATGAGAGCGCTGGCTCAATGATAAAACACCACCTATACTCCTATCCACCATTTTAGTATTAATAACAGTAAATATACATCTCCCTGTCCAATCTCCACCACATATCAAGTGTTAATATTTTTGTCTCGGTGTATAAGCCATTATTGTCGCGTATTCATGTAAAATATCCAAGTACCATGTAAAACTAGTTTCGCGTGCCATTATTCCACTTAAAAGGCTAAAGAGACAGTAGTTATCTCGTGCCATGTAACAAATACCGGCGTGTGTTGGCTAGTTGTATTTAACTCCTTTGACCCGGATGATCTGGTTCAGTCAGACGTTTTTTACAGTCCATTTTTTTTAAAAAAGATATATCATATTAAAATATCTGTAAACATGCAGTTTTCACATCAGTAAACAACAAAAAATGAGAATTATTTCATATACATTTGTAGTTACATATCGAAAGCATTTTGATAAATTGACGGTCCTTAAAAACGATCATTATTCCTTCATTGGACGCTGTAAGCACTGAAGGACAAACGAGGAAAATGCATAACAGCTGTATTTTCATTGTATTTCGTGAGACATTTAAGATATTTACATTTCCTTTCACATATTACTTGGGGTTTCTAGTTTATACACAATTTCACACACACACACACACACACACACACACACACACACACACACACACACACACAAAAAAAAAAAAAATTAAAAATACTCAATAGCGGATTCATATGTATTTTTACAGGCTTCCTACGTGTCTGAATGGACGTTTATCAAAGTGTTAGCATCGATTTTGTTGGTAAGGTCAAAAAGATGATAGAGACCGGAAATGCAAATGTTTGAATATAAACGACATTACGATGAAATATGTAGGTTGATTTCTGTACACTGAGTGCAGCGCATCGTGTACTTAACGGCACTTATTGATTTTAGTCTAATCACGTGACGTTGTAATTTGCACGATTCTCATTTCTTTAACAACATACTTGGTGTTTAACATTCATGACTCACCTGATTAAGCAGCTGAGTAACAATTCCGACTCTAGTGTCCCTTTTCATTAAGATAACATTTTACCGTATTAAACCGCTTGTACGGAGTTCCAATTGCACACTACATGCACTTCCCTCTTTCTCAATCACACAGGTTATATACCAATTAAGAACGATTATGCAATTTGTTTCAGTCTCAATTTAACACACTTAATAAATTATCTTCAAAATTGGAGGCAGAGCCTGATTAAGGACACACGTAATTCACGTACACGTTGCGTGCGATGGAGATTGTTCATGTCTGTAGCAAATATTTCTGCAATATCGTCAACACTGTGGTGACGCATTCAACTCATTGTTCTTCATTTAATTTCGGTCTAAGATCAAGGGGAAAGAAATCAGAACCATACACATCGCACGTGATTACGTATTTATAGAGAGAGTGAGGAAGGGAGGGATTGAGAGAGAGCGAGCGGAGAGAGGGAGAGAGAGTAGGAGAGATAGAGGAGGGAAGGGAGGAAGGAAGGGAGGGGGGAGGGAGGAAGGGAGAGAGAGAGACTCATCTCTGACAGTTGTTTTTTCGGGCTATATAATTGAGGGTGTGACGAAGGAATATACGGGGCATTTGTATAAAAAAATGATGGAATACAAAACATCATCTATGCAGAGAAATGTAAACACATCGTATATGACCTGAAAAAAATTAACTGAATTCAAAATCCAACACTCAACTACGTAGATAGCTGTTTATTTGGGTTCTGTTAAGACGTTGGAAAGAGAGAGACCAACAGACAGAAAGAACAACATCATTCCGATGTTTGTAATGTGTTTTTTTATATATAACGAATCGATATTTTTAAAGGGATTGGAGCTTTTATTCAGTGTACTTTGTTTGGCAGAATTCCACATATGGAAAGGATATGGTGTTAAAAGTTGATAAAGACTAACCGGAAATTGATTATAATTTGTAGGTTGTGTGGGATATTTTTCCTATCAGCAATTCCTTCAGTACTAACCGAAAACATTGCTTTGATCATCATTGATGTCCAGAATTGTTTCCTTCCGGGGGGAAGTCTTGCTGTAGAAAACGGACAGGAAGTAATCCCGGTCATAAACACCCTCCGAACTGACTACGAAGACACGTTCCGATTGGTTGTTTTATCACAGGACTGGCATTGTTCTGATCACATTTCTTTCGCCTCCCAACATACTGGATTCAACGCCTACCAGGAAGTGACATTATTGTACTCAGAAAACGGTAAGACGTCTTTAGTCAGGTAAGAAATATGAATTATAACAAATCCATGTGAAGCAAGCGTAGTACTATCAGGTATTTTATTGCAGTAAACAAACGTGACAAAATGATTTGCGAGAATATTTATCTAGACGAAAAAAAGAACCCTTATTTCGTTATAAATAATGTATTTATTGTGTTCCTAACTTGTTAATGATATTTTTTTTATTAGTTTATTCTTCAGACAATCTCGTAAAGTTTTTCTGGAAAATACTTATCTCTTAATCTCGGTCAACGGGACTCTTCTTGTCTGCACATGCTGTGCCAATAATTATGTCGTCATCAAGCGGCTAGGTGAATGAGACTTTTTGTTTGTTTGTTCACCTTGTTGTTATCCGCTGTTGGCGCAAAGCTTTATTGAGCCATACACTGCTGTGTCAAAACTGTGTCGCCATTCAATTAAAAAAAAAATTGTTTACCCATGGAACCGCTCGAGGTAAGCTCGCTTTGATAGAACTATACGTTCCTGCTTCCGTCTACAGATACCACAATAAAAACCAAAAAAGACTCCTCTCAATGTCGATGGTTACTGCTTCTCAAGACAGGTCTAAGAGATCTGCAAATTTGCTATAAATAATCATTTATTCAACAAAAAACAGGTCCACATAATCATAATCCAAACTTATCCCCAATCAAACTAGGACAAAATGTAAACAAAAGAAAGATTTAAGGGGAGATTCCTGGAAATGTACAAGGAGAATAAGACCAGGTGTTCCGGAAGAGTAGGAGCCTTCGACTTGATCGACGACAATCGTCATTTAAATGTTAAGGGGGATATTTGAACGAGTTTACGTCTTTGTGTTAGTTGTCATTTGATTTGAGGTGAACTAGGACACACGATGTTATCAATAACTATATCTCTTCCCAATTTGACAAACAGGCTCGGGCACAACTGTGTAAATATGTTCTTGTATTCAATTTAATTCAGAGCTAGGTTATTAACTAGAATTATGCACAGATAATGTCTTCAGCAAGCCAGACCTAAATAACACCATGAGGGTCGATAGCAGGATAGTGAATAAAACCTTATATCAAGTTCCAGGTTTTTATGGTATCTATAAGTGTCCTATTTTTAGAGTGTCAACGTAAACTTAGTGGTATTTCAATCACTCACCAATAACGTACTGTCTTCACGTAGAGGTTTTATATAAAAACATTCAGATATCTATTTAAGTATACATGTATATATAATAAGTTTTGTCATCTTAATTAGTGTAACGATCAGGTAAAGGAAAATACGAGTTCCTGAAACAAAATTTATCAAAGTGAACATGATTTTGTAATAGCATAGATAACTATCCTTTAACAGAAGTCATTTCTGAGTATTTTAGTATTTCTGATTGTGTGTTTCGTGTTTATTTGTTGTACCTATGTATTGTTTTAAATTAGTATCGAACAGAATTCCTTTTCCAAACACAGAAAAACGTTGGAATGCAAGATGATTGTGCTAGACTCTACCACGAAACAACGGCGACATTTATTTCAGTTTCGCGTGGAAATGTAAAATACTGTTTTGACGTTTAGGTTTTCAGTGTGAGGTCGTCCGATCATGGGTATGCCCACAAAAATTTATTTAGAGTGCGCCCTTCGAAACGGCAATATTTTGATATTCTGAAAATAATTATATGATAAATTCCTAAAGTATTCGGGATTAGTTTAGAATTTGACAGTCATTTCAAAAGATTTATTTTCTTCAGTCGCCTCCGAAGTTTCAACACTTAAGGTCAAAAGCATCACTAAAGAGTCCTGCTTGAACTGAACAACTGTATGGTGTCGTTTAATGCACTGATCGTTATCTGTCTGTTTAAATTCTAAATCTGGTACAGGAAGGTGTTGTCATTTTTTAAGAGTCATTAGGTTTAAATGCGAAATTTTCATACCTTACCTGTACTTCAGTACCCCTGTCAACAGAGTTAGAGAAATGAACTTTAACGGTCGTACAGTAAATCACTAATATCTAATGTGGAATTTATCAATCGCGAATTCAAATCTTTCGCGATTATTTGTACGAAAATAACTCTGGAAGACGTCCATGATGAGTTTGTTACCAATATCCGAATCCTGAAGAGTGCATACCGCTGCTAACTTGTAGCTCATCACTGACAAATTTAAAATCAGTACTATACCATCGTTCGCGAAATCATGTATTCGCGATTATGTCTGAAGATAGAAGTTCGCGAATATTTTCAGTAATCTACAGTAACTGTGTATTCGCGATTATGTCTGAAGAGAGAAGTTCGCGAAATAAAGTATTCGCGAAATGTCGGTAATCTACAGTAACTGTAGGATGCTTTACTATCATTGAGTGATCCAAGTATCTACCATACATGTAGCTTACCTTACATAACGATGTCTTTACAACACTATGACGTCAATATATATTAGACATGATACTGTATAAGACTCACGAGAGGGAAAGACTTGAAAAGGTTCAGAACTATTGTACCCTTTTCATAGTCACCAATATGTATTAGTTTACAGGTTTATAGGTGAATTTAAGGATGACGGACAGTATTAGGGAAAACAGGCCAGAGTGACATTCCGATTCCAATTTTTCAGGCGATGTTCCTGTTATTTTCTATTTTCTTGCGTGCATTATTGAAATTTCTTATCTCTGTGTAATTAAAATCGTCTCTGTTCTTATCCTAAGCATCGTAAAATGAAGAGAGCATCAATTTATTTCAAAGGTCTTATTTTGAGAGCATGACATTTTAACAGACTTTTTGTATGAGTGTTTTTTTTTTCTTTCTTTCTTTTTCTTTCTCGGAACTGGTGACATATCATAACTCAGTGATTATCAAATAGTTTTTACAATTTACTATAATTATGTTTCATGGAAGTGGTCCACGATTGAAAAAGTACGAGATAAGTTACAACGCTGTAATTATGATTCGTACTAACATAGGTCAATATTTGGGAATGTCATCCTTTCCATTTACATAAATGTATTAATAACTTTAGATATATGCCTTATTCGTGTGCAAAATTATCATTCAACCAACGTTGGGTTTAGTAAAGCTGTTCATCCATATGTCTACTACAGCATTACTTTTCTTACGAAATATTTACCTCATGTTATTAATAACTTTCTGAAAAAAATGTTTGTATTTCAGGTACCCTGTGCGAGCCGGTCAGCGCATGTCAATCCGTCGCGTACAATGTCATGTTTGTATTTCAGGTACCCTGTGCGAGCCGGTCAGCGCATGTCAATCCGTCGCGTACAACGTTACACAGATGCTATGGCCCGATCATTGCGTCATTAATTCTACTTCCGCCGAATTCGACGACAGACTCATACAGAAAGATAGTGACGTCATCATCAGAAAAGGCTACAATTGTAAGGTAGCCGTTCATATATAATTCTTTTTGGCGACAGGAGAAGATATCTACTTCAGGCTAGGTAGTTATGTCATTTCGAAAGCGAGGCAAATATGTTTCCGATAAAGAGTTTTCTCCGATTTGGTGGTTATTGCAGAACTATAACAAATCTGCTATCTTAGCTGTAATACGTGTCCAAGAAAAACCGAATGGCGGGAATTTGCACATTAAGGTAAATTTGTCTGTAGCATAATTGCTTGTTGGACATGATATCTCCCAAATCAACATCTATTGACACTGCTGATGTTTTATTTACAGCTGTTATTTCCATCTGACGTCGACAGTTTCTAGCTTATCTGGTCCGAAGGGCCAAGTGAGCTTATGCCGTGGCACAGCGTCCGTCGTTCGTCAGTCTTTTGATGTTTGGATGTATGTTCCTAGTACGAAGCCTGACAAACCTGGCAAAAAGAAATGACCTTGACGTATATTCAATATCACTGGGGTCAGATTTGTTAAAATCTTTGAAAAGCTTCTTCTCTTGATTTAAAAGGCATAGAGGCACGATATTTGGCTGGTATGATCCTAGGATAAAGCTCGACAAGTTCGGAAAAATAAATGACCTTGACCTATTTTCAAGGTCACAAAGGTCAAATTTCTTAAAACATTTAAATGACTTCTCATGAACTAAAACGCCTAGAGGCATGATATTTGGCTGGTATATATACCAGGTATGCACTGCAGTCCCATTTGGCCTCTTGTTTAAGTCTCGTGTTAACCTATACTGATCTCCATTGTCCAGCGTTGTGCGTCGTGCGTCTGAAAGTTTTAACATTTTCGACTTCTTCTGGAAAACCCCTTAACCGATTTCAATGAAATTTTACAAAAAGCTGAAATTGCAAATTATATAGTTCTCAACCCTAGGGTGGGGCCAGAATGGGTCAAATTGACCGAAATTTCAAACAATTTCTTTTCAAATCCCAATTACAGTAGAATCAAGTACTCTTTCTGGATGGTAGTGTCTTACAGTGCTTTATGAAAATTGTAAATTTGATGACTCCAGGGTTTCACATTTCCCTCAGGGGAGGGGTGAATTTTACCATAGTTTATATAGGAAAATCACATTTTTGAACATCGTTTCTTTTCTATTGGAAATAGTTCAAACCTGTTTAGAATTATTAGTTTAAGATTACAATTTATTGAGATGCACATATTGACCTCGGCTGACATACAAGGGCTGTTTGATGGAGCCAAAATGGGGCAAACTGACTGAAATTTCAAAAACACTTCTTCTCAAATCCCAGTTATGATAGTTCCAAATACTCTTCATGGATGGAAGTGTCTTATGGCGCTTTATAAAATTTCAAAACCCCAGGATCTCACACCTTCCCTTAGAGAGGGGGTAAAATTTACCTTTTTTATATGGGGAAATTTTATTTTTGAGCATAATTTTTTATTTTCTTTCAGAAATAGTTCAGACTTGGATATAATTTTTAGCTCACCTGGCCTGAAGGGCCAAGTGAGCTGTAGGGATACCGTGATGTCTGTCGTCCGTCAGCTTTTATTATATATTACAATTATTCACGAACAAATCCAACAGATTTTAATCAAATATGTTCTGCAGCAGTCTTGGGGAAAGCGGAAACAATTCTGTATAATTGGTGAGTATGCCCCCGCCGTCGGAGCCTGAAGGATGGGGCCCAAGAGGGAAAATCTATCAATGTCTTTAAAATCTATCTTGTTATTTAGGAATTGCAGGATGTTGTTCAAATTTGGTCTGAAGAATGACTGGGTGAAGGAACATCAGTTTTGAACAAATAGTGGGTCTCGGCGCCCTGGGGCTAAATGGGCGGGACCAAGAAGAAAAATCTATCAATTTCCTTAAAAGCTCCTTCTTTGTATCTTATTCTTCACTAATCGTAGGACATTCTCCAAAATGGGCTTGAATAAAGGGAAATCAGTTTTGCATAAAGGGTTGATCTCTGCCGCTTGGACCAGAGGGGTGGGGCCCAATAGGGAAAATCTATCGATTTCTTTAAAATCTCTTTTATTCGTTAGGAATTTTTAGGATATTGTCCAAAATTGGTTTGAAACATGCTTCGGGGAAGTGAAATAAGTTTTTTTATATATAAGGCGCGGGTTTCGGCCCACTGGGGCCAGACTGGCAGGGCCCAACAGGGAAAATCAAATCCCCAAGTAGATTTAATTCATTTTCATATCATTGCTTTGCACCATCAACCATTCATTTGGATCTTTGGTTCTTTGAAACAGCTGTGATCCCCACTGAATAACTAAAGCATTGCTGAGCATCCGGAGATAAACATGATCATAACTAGTAATTTGTCCTGGGGTCTGGTCCCACCCCAGAACAGATTACATCTTTGGAGCCATTGAAATTAAAAAAAGAAATCCCATAACTTCATAGAATTTCTGAACATCAAGAGATTAACATTTGATCTCTGTCCTCATCCCAAGGGAATTTAAAGTTTTATCAGTGGGATGAGGCTGATCAAGGGAAGTGTTTTCCTTCTCAACACAAGTAAATGTTTTGCATTATTGACTAAACTATACATGTGAGCAATACAGGCCTTTTAGGCCTTTTGTCTTTTAGTGTAAGTTGTCAGTTTGATGAGATGCACATATTGACCTTGACTGACCTCCAGGGGACGATGGACGGGGCCAAAAATTGGTCAAATGTACTGAAATTTCAAAGATGTTCTACTGTTCCTGGATGGAAGATTTTATATAGGAAAATTCAAATCTTTAGTTTAATTTCTTTTTATTCAAACTTGGTTAAAAGCCTTAGCATGGGACAGTGTTAATGTATATACAATTTACATTTGCATTATGTGTACATTATAATCATATTACCTTTTTAACAAAATCATTTTAAGATTTTTAATCATTTCATTGTAACAAGAAGCAATGCGACTCAGGTGACCGTTAAGGCCTTTGTGCCTCTTCTTGTATTGTTTTGTCTTAACCTCTCGGTTTTTGTCTTAACCTCTCGGTTTTTGTCTTAACCTCTCGGTTGACAGTTGTCGGTCGAGAATATGTAACATCGAAATGAGATGACATTATCGAAAAAAAAAAATAAGTAACGTTCCTGACATTTCGCTATCTCAAACGTTTGTGTGTAGTGGCCCACTGAGTTAAGATCAATATATGGTATGAAAGCATGCAAAGCTATTGTGTCGCAAATGATATTATTGATACGAATATGAATTACTATTTTGTCTTACATAAAAGATAATATAATGCATCCTGACTCTTTTCCAGGTCGATTCCTACTCGGCATTCTTTGACAATGGTCAATTCAGCCAAACGGGTCTGAATCAAATCTTACAGGATGCCAACATCTCAACAGTGTTTGTAACGGGTCTGGCGTTAGACTATTGTGTGTATTACACATCTTCTGATTCCAAGCGTTTAGGTGAGTGTGACATCGACCAGTTACTATACAGTAGGCTGTCTTTATCAAACCTTCGATATCCCAACCGTTCGCCATCGTTGCGGGAACGATCTTCCCGCGACATCGTTCGGGCGGGATCGCAGAATGTAGTTAATCCTTTCCGCACGGACGACGCCTCTCGCTTTCACGCGTTTTGAGTAAAAAAATCTCATTAACTGTACTATATATGGATATTGTTGCAGTGATCATGCATTACGATATATTTATCTTTTATCAATTTGTTAGAGTTTTTTTCTATTTAATAGAGGAATCACAGCAGCTATCCTCGGGTTTAGTAGGTGTATATTATATTATATTCAGGTGATGTTTACCTTTAACGTCAACAACGTTAAATCGCCTTTATTAAAAGATCAAACATAAATTATATTATAATTAATGCGAAATAAGTGTTGCTAACTTGCATTGATCACTCCTGCTTGCCCGGATGTAACCGTTTGCAAGGTGTCTTGCTGTGAAGGAAACCGGAAAACCCAGGGGAGCCCACGTGGTCGGGCAGGTGACCCCATACCATACAAAAAACGAAATAATCAAATCTACCACAACTCAAACTACATACTTATTATGTCATTTCTATATTCCATATCCATTTCAGTATGCGAAGTGGTCCATGATATTTTTGTCACTATTTCATGTGTACATATACACGGAATATGTACTGTTCAAAGTAAAACTATCATATTTCGCCAACGGAGCTAATTTGTTTTTTTCTGCGTCGCTGAAAAGTTCAAGTTTTATATGAGATAGCGTTCCACATATTGACCGTCTCGACTCTGATATCACGAGTTTAAAGGAACATGTTCAGTGGTCTGACGTTTTTCTTCGTTCATTATGGTGTTAGGCTGAAGGCTTCTCAGTTCTGTTATGTAAGAGGACATTCCTTGTTGTGTTTTGACCTTGAAGGTATTTGCGTTCCCTTGTATTATGTAGGTCAATGTAAAAAGTTCACTAACCGCTCAAGGTACATGTATTGTGAAGAGGTAGGAATGAGGACAACGACCGACCGAATTTTTTACAAATTGTATTGCGTTACAAGAGTTTCAGGAGGGATCTTGTTGCCCAAAATACAATGAGTTTATTCTATATGTCCTACAAAATCGTCTTTTCAGTTTTTTTGCCATGTATTAACTATGGATTTCATAAGATATGAAAGTTCCGCTAAAGAAACAGCGATACTGATTTCTCAATTTTTTTCAAATCCAAGATGGGCCACTCATTTTATTTTTCCTGACTTAAAATTAAACGGATATATCTAGGGAGTACAAACAACGTGATTATGAAATTTGGCAAAGATTACATCAAGTGATTAAAATCTAACGATAACAAACTTTTCAAATTCAATTTCCAAGATGGCCGTCTATTACCCTTATTTTTCTTTTCTGACCAACCCTCAAATCAAAACGAACACAACTAGAAACGGGAAGACGTTTATATATGAAAGTTGAGAAAGATGCAGTCAGTACTTCCCATGAAAGAGCGATAACACGCTTTTATAGTAACGATCTGTGATGGCAGCCTCTCAGCCATTTTGTTTTTCTGACCGGTTCTAAACCAAAAGGTTGTAATAAAATAAATTTGTATTGTATTCAATTTCTTTTTGAAATTGCAAAGATCACGTAAGTAATATCTGAGGCATCGCCCATTTGTAATCATCCGTTTACATAATTTCTTAATAAAAAAAAAAACATTGCATCTTGATACCTTAACATAATGTAATTCGGTGTCCCAATTTAACCCCAGGAATGCTAGTCACGCTAATATCAATTTCAGTATAATTACAACTTGCACGAACGGTGTAACGTCTAGACTTACTAAATGTTTGAGTTACAACTGTTCTCACGTGATGAACACTTAAACAATTTTGGAACGATTGAAATGTATTTTGGCAACACGTTTGATTTCAAATCATCGGAAGCCGGCCAAAATACCATTCTTTTACAAAGAGAAGCATTTTTTTATTGATTTAATGCAGCCCTTTCACAGTTTTTATCGTTGTATGAATCAGCAATATCTATACGTTGAAAACTATCTGTTAATATTCTCGTCTCAGAAGTTACCAAATAATAAAAACAAATAAATGTCACAGCCGACAGGATTTCAATAGAGAATGAATTGTCGGGCAGGGGAGGAAACAAATTTTACGATATTACAACTATATCATGATTTCATGTAAGTACAAAATCTGTGATATTCTATCAATGAATAGTTGCAAAACCTTTGTTTTTATTTGGTATATTAAACCTCCGCTTTGTTTGATGTAGTAAACCTTTGTTTCATTCTTTGTGAACGTTTTGTATATTCAGCCTCCTCTATTGGTTTCATATATTCACCCTCCACGTTTGTTTGGTACATTCAGCCTCCGCTATTGGTTTCATATATTCACCCTTCGCGTTTGTTTGGTATATTCAGCCTCCGCTATTGCTTATATATATCTTCACCCTCCACGTTTGTTTGTTGCGCTCAGCCTCCGCTATTGGTTTCATATATTCACCCTCCACGTTTGTTTGATTATTCAAATTCCCCATTTACTTGGTATAGTCAACCTTCACTTTCGATTGATATATTCGATCCCCACGTTTGATGGGTATATTCTACCTCCGCTTTTGTTTGGATATTAAACATCCTCGTTTGTTTGGATATTAAACATCCACATTTGTTTGATATGTTCAATCTTTGTGTTTGTTTGTTATGTTCAACCTCCGCCTTTGTTTGTATATTAAACATCCTCGTTTGTATGAATATTAAACATCCTCGTTTGTTTGGATATTAAACATCCTCGTTTGTTTGAATATTAAACATCCTCGTTTGTTTGATATATTCAACCTCCGCTTTTGTCTTTGTAGATTTGTATATGTATAAGCATATTTGTTGATTCTCTGTCAGGTTACAAGACGTATCTGGTTGAGGACGCCAGCCGTGGAGTAGCCAGTGATACGTCTGAGGCAGCAATGGCCGACATGAAATCTAAAGGTAGGTATAGAGGCTGGTACAGATATAATTTTAAGATTTTAATACAGTGTAGAACAAAACAATAAAAATTACGGATTATTGCAGCTATTGTGTCTATCTATGACTTGTCAGTGATGTTCAATGCCTATTTTGTGGCACAGCAAATCTATTGTCGGAAATAAATGTTGAGATATATAGAATTTGGGAACGTACAGAAAGACGTCTAATTCGGGTTCTATTCCGAATAAATGTTTCCCTGTTTCATTGTGCAGTACTTGGTCGTTTAGACTTGACAGCTGTTCTAGATAACATTTTGTCGTTTTGTCTTTCCTTTTATTATACTTTCTCCCTTTATAGGAACAATGATAAGAAAAGGTTTATCAATGCAGTCTTCTAAAATCGTATGCATTAAAATCTCCGTCAAAACATCAGCTTACTGTTGAATTTTAATTTTATTCTTTGTAGGCATCAACATAATACAGAGTAAAGAAGTGGGCGCCATTTTGGAGTCTTTCATCAATAGTGCCTTTTCCATCCGGAGTTCATTTGGGACAGTTGTATCTGTTGCCATGGCAATACATTTCCTCCAAGCGTTCATAAGCCATTCTATCTTACAATGAAAGTTTAGGTTAAATATCTTGCATGTTATTTCCAGCACAAAACATGACCTGTTGTCGATTATAAATTATGATATTGCCGTGTTCAATTTTAGAGAATCTGAAGTATGCCTATTTCAACATTCATGAGCTGGAAGCAATCAAGCTATCCTTGTCAATTCAATTCTGGATACGGAAGTCACGTGTAGCAAATGTTACAACACTTAGACATCGATAAATGATCACGTGATAATTCAAACTCAGACGATCAGCTGATTTGTATTCACGGACTACGGTTGTTTGCGATATGTTTGCAATGACCCATTCAAATCACGTGAATCAGTCACGGATAAAATTCAAATGAAATCCTTTAAATGAATGAGAAATAACACAATACATGTGCATTACGATTAAGATAATCATTTCATACGACGCCATCTTTAAAGTAACTTTATTCTTTCATCGCCCGAACAATTTATGTGTCACTGACATTATATGTTTTCTCTACATCCCCGCCACGGTTATCTCCCTTCACACGGTCATTATGTCAGCATTATTGCTATTATTAACTTACATCGTCCGTATATATCAATCTGTCCACGTGTCAGTCACTCGAGTCACGTGTGTACGAATATCATTGCCATATTGCGTTAAATACTGCCGTTGTATGAAGTATGAATGTGTAACTTGGTGACTGTTTTCGTGGTATGAAATTACATAACATTTCAAATATTGCTTAAAATACTTTTGTATCAATGATTGATGTTGTCTTTGGATTTGTTTAAATTTCTTTAATTCAACCTTTCTTAGCTGCGTTAATGGATTTATGGATACAGACAGACATGTTGTCGGTAATTTCTAACGATTCAGAGAGTTAATAAACCTTGTCCTTCGACTTCTCATTACTATCTAATGTCGCTAAGCTACCAATGGTGTGAATAGTAAGCTGATAACATTGCTGTGTGTATGAAGTGACATATGTAATCAGTTCCTTGTTTTGTAGATTCTAACTGGTCATTAGAAATATCGGGAAACAATATTGTTATATACTTTGATCCGATTTTGATTATCAGTAAAATATGAACATGCAGTTAATGAAATAGCTAATAGTGAATAATTGATGAAAACTATCTGTAGATATTATATACTGCTTGAAATTCTGGTAATGAGGATTGTTTGGAAGGTCAAAAATTGGCTAAATCTGGGTATTTCATCACACTTATTTTACAGGTCGCTCGCAAAACATATGTTACTTTTCAATTGTACAAAATTAATGCCATCCTCACGCTATGATTAACCAATAAAAAAAATTCTATTGCCGATAAAATCTAACGAAATGTTGGTGTACAAGATATTGTAACATTTCAATGCATATATTCGAAAGAGCTGATATAGGACACGCCTGTAAAAACGGAATCATACAAAGAATTGAAATAACCCGATGTATTCTGTGTAAATGTAACAAAATATTGATAAATCCACGTCCCCTACTAGCTAGTATTGGTTTTTTTGTAAGTCGATGTTACTTTTGCACACGAAGGAAATGGTTTTTCAAACGACCTGTTAATTTGTATGAATCGAAAATTTCTTTGATTGTCTCAGACTCACTCTTTTCGAGCGTGCTGTATTGTTTTAAACATGCGTTCACAACACTTTTCTCTCAAGAGAATAGACTCCTGATGATGTAACAATTAACACATAACATTTTATCAGAGCTATACAAACATGAGAGATCCAACACGGGATCACAATCATAATTCAAACTGGAATTCAGTTAAACTAGATCTAAGAACGGTTTGCACAGAGATTCCTGAAAAGCACAAGGTGAACAAAGAACATGTGTTTCGGAAGAATAAGCGTCTTTAGCCTCAGCAATGAGACCCTCCATGTATATCTAGGTAAATCCGAGTAGGATTTCGCAACTGAGAACAAGGTATACATCAAAGGAACCAACAGGCAAATCAATGGACGCCAAACATGTCTAGTTTCACACAATGCATATATCTAATATATCTATGCAAACTATTGGACACACATCGTGTTTTAATCCACAAAATTGCAATTCACCAACACAATGACTCAAAGTAATCAAATTTATTCAATCACTTTTTATATCAAGTATAAAGATTGTCACATGTATTCTAGCTTTGTAGTACAAAACAATAAATGTCTGATCAAATTTATTTGATTGTTGTTCATATCAGGTATAAAAGTATATAAATATATTCCATCTTTTACTACAAAAACAATGAGTGATTAGATTAAATATTTATCTGGTGTAAAAATATATTAAATGTATTTAATCTCCTTAACTACACATTCAACACAATGGAGTTATACAAATCAATGACAATCACACATATCTTGAAATATCTGAACAATAGCTTTAAGTTATGATTAAACATGCAAATACGATTGTTAAAACACGAGTGAGATATCAATATAACTTAACACACCTACTATTACCAGAATTAAATTAATTCTGAGTCAGTCATAACTAGATTTATTTTCCTGAAATAAATGGACAAGTGTTTTTAATTAAAGAAAATATTTTGAGAATTATGGAGGATCATTATGCATGTTCAAGAAAAATGTAAAAAGTTGAAAGATCAAAACGATAATAACAACATTGATAATGGCATGTTAGAAAATGGACCGTTATGAATTAAATTTTACTCCCCATCCCCTTCCCCCTTTCCTCTTGTAAATACAATTTTGTTCGAAATCATTCATTTGCTGTTACAGATCAAGAAAATTGAATCCTCCAAACATAGATTAGCCACGATTGTTATGAGACGTGATCAACTTGTTCATGGTTTAAAATGGTTTCCAGGTGTGAATGTGGTAGCAAGACTATTTGAAATGTAAACATTTACATCATGGTGATAACTTTTAAATCAATAATAATAATAATAATACAATATACAAAAAAGTATCTGTCTAAACGTCTAAACACCTAGCGTCATTTGAAGAACACTTGCCTTTAAATCTGTCTTTCTATTTTACCATAAAGACAAAATTCCATATAATGATTATTAACTTCCGGTTAGTGTTTATAAAATTGGAACATCTTGACAGTATCAATGTTATCAGTCACAAGATTCATCAAATTAATTATATCACAGCTTGTTAAACGAGTAAAATATATTCTCAGCTGTCGAAAAAGATAGCTATACATTGTACTATATGAAATAACTTCCGACAATCGATAGGCGAACATATATTCATCAATTATACATTTTCATACCGGTGAATCAAAACTATACACTTGTTTACATAGTCCCAAAAGGGACTTTCTAATTGTAACAGGAGTGCCAAAAGATAAAACCGACAAATGGACACAATTACATGTGGTAAAATATTATATACATAATAACACACTGCCTTGCGGTGTAGCAGACAACAGGTATCAATACCTCATGCAAAGCCATTGTACTGCAATCATAGACATCTAAGTACACAACCTTATTTTCTTACATACTTACAAAAAGACCTGATAGACATTCACATTGTTTACTACCGCCTTTGATCAAATGACCTGGATAAGGTATCGGTCGGATAGGGAAAATGGTGCGTATAGTATTTTGGGATATTTCGTAACAATTTCGGTTTTCCAGAAACTGAAACATGGATATAAGTAATCACATACACACGAAAACAAAAGAGGAGTCGATTTAAACAGAAAGCAATTTGTATGCTTGAAATTAATGAAATAAATAGCTGTGTGGCTGTTCTGATTGGTAGCCTAATTGAAAAAGTCAATGTTATAAGAAAAAATGTCAAAATGTTATTCATGATTAAATTATTACAACAGAATACGTCTTTGATAAAATAAGCATCTATGAGATGGCTTACATATCTAATATTGTTTGGAGTCCTTTCGTCATGTTATAAGATATTTCTCTGATCATATACACCGCCACATATATATGCATTTCTAGTAACGAACTGTTCATTTCTGAGGCTTGTGAATAAATAATTGTCTTTCTTCTTCAGATCTGTTTTCTTTTCAGTAATACCTCATGAACTATCAAGGAAGCAGAAAATGATAAAATGCAAATATGAACAATTATATTTACCACACACGAGAGAACTAGATAACTAATAAAGACGGTTTCTGAGCTTCTGCGTTTCATCATATGGCTCATTTTCCTAAAACAATACGTCCACATTTTCGAGTGCCGTAGACTGTCCATTGTAGGTGGGTGCCTGTTCCGACTTGTTTGGATTATCTGGGAGAGTATCATTATCGTTAATAAAATGTACGACTGCGTTTGTTTGTTTACCAGAGTCTTCTCTATTCTCCTCCTCTTCCTCCTCTTCCTTGATCACATCATTAGACAATGCATTTTTTTGCTCTTCCTCTCTATTTTTCAAGACAGCAGCATTCACAAGCAGCGAAAACCGATTACCTCCCTTGGCTGTGGTACCTTCCGTGCTTTCTCCGTTTTCTCTTGCCTTTTCCATGATTGCTTGCAGTTTAGTTTGTTGGAGAACCCTATTCCATCTACTTTTTGCTGCTGATACCTGACTTCCACGTCGTTTTATCTCTTGACGATTTGACGTATTCTTAATCATTTTTGTAATGGTATACAAAGATGGGCGACCGAAACGAGAGAATTTCTTCTGTATGTCAGTCATTCTTGTGTCATCATCGTTTACGGTCCCTTCAGCAACACCTATTGTACTTACATTATCATCGTCATCGATAACATTTTGAAGTTTTTGGAAATTCCGAAGAAAATTTCTACCTAGTGTGCTTTTCTGTTGTTCTCTTCTTCGTTTATCAAATTTTTTCCAAAGTTGTTTTCCTCTCGTTTGACCAACAGTAGCTTCTTCGTCATCGTGTTCACTTGTGGTGCTAAGCTCAGATACGATGGAACGTGCATCATCATCTATGGCTGCCGACTGCATATCCCGCACGAGCTGCAATCCCTCATCGACTCCAATTGAGCGCTCGGCCTCTTCGCCTCCCTGCAGTGATTGTCTGATTCGCCGTTTCGCTTTGATTTCAGTCGCAGCTAGAATATGGAGAAGGGTTGCGAGTCTATGGAATAACATACAAATAAATTGTACGAACAACAGCAGTCCGAACACGACTGTAAACGTAAAGCTAATAGGCTCGACAAAGGCTTGGTTGTCTTTGTCTGATGAGCTCCCTTCCGGCTTACATGGCAAAGGTACAGACAGACTGTTGCCGCCAGTATCGTTAACTATTGTCAACACAAAGACGATGGTTACGAAGAGAGCGTTGACAAGAAGAAAAGCTAAACATACTTTATTTCTCAGTTCTACTAGTTCCTCCGCAGTAGCCTTCTCTTTCTTCGCGTCTTTTTCCAGAGGAAAGAGATATTTTTCGATAAAGTCTTTCCAAAACTCAGTTTCCGTTTGGCCCATCCGATCAATGGCTCCCTCTTTAAGAAATTTGTCTGTAATCCAGTAAGGATTCTTTAAGTCGTTTCTCTTCGGAACTACTGCCTGTTCAAACAAGGGATTTTCTGGAAATTGAACGAAATCAAATATGTATTAAGTGATATCTAAAGGCGAATTCAAGAGATGAGAATTTGGAATTGGATAATATTGATTATGTTGGTCACTTTCACATCAAACTTCATGTCCTTTTCTTATTGCTTATTTTCTTTAGAGCGGTGTCTGTTCGATAAAATGATTTTGCTTCAAAACTGCACGAGATAATGAAGTATGTAACAAATCGGGATAGGAAAGGAAACGATGTATTTGATTATGACACAATTAAACAATGTTTAAATGAGATAATATAGCAGAATATATGAGGAATAATATACAAAAGGTCAAAACGTATGATGATGAAATACATGGCACTAGAAAGCTAGGACCATAAACCGGTGAACCTACGTTGTGACTCACATGCAGATAATAGATGCAAATTTCAGGTTCCTACACACATTCATGTTTGAAACTATTGCTAACACAACTTATAAACCCTTTTTCCTTTTAAAATAACGATAAAACCAAAACAATGCATATCTTAATCCCGAAAATCTGAAAATTTTTGTGGTAAATATTTGGGTATAGTGTATAATAAATACATGTTTGCATTATATGGGCTGCAATTATTTATCTTTGGAAAGGTGCCTTTTAAGAGAGAAGTATGTGATTTTTGTTTAATCTGCCTTTTTTAAAACTAGTGCTTCACACAGCTGCTTCCAGAAGAGGAATACTGCTTAGTCCCTATCTGGTTCTCATGCTTAGCAGTAAAAGGAAAGAGATGAAATGTTTACCACGGTTTCCAGCTCCTTCAAACAGCCCTGCTGCCTGGGAAAACGGAGTTTCAGATTGTTGAACAGGTTCTGCTTCAGGCAAGTAATTCAATGAGTCATTCCTAGATGTGTTGCGAGTCACATTTGTTATGCGCTCTTCCATTTCAGCCAGACGAAAAAGAATTTCTTTAAACTTGTCATCTTCTGAATGTTGATTGCTAGGGCAGCAGAAACACCTGTAGGTTTGCACAAAAGACAACAATCTATTAGCAGTTTTCAATAAAAGAAAAGTAGAATAAGAGAAAAAAGGCAAAGAAAAAAACAACATTATACAGATAATTTGTCCCTATTAAAAACGTCAGTGTAGCGTAAAAGGTATTATTCAACTTATTTGGGTAGCTCTATGGCCCAAATTAAACATCATGTTAATGTATCAATGTATAACTTTGATAGAAATCTAGGACAAGATGTTCAAATATTGGCGTCGTCTCAGAGGCATTGGTACAAAAAATTGTTTAGTTTTATCATGAATCAGATGTGAATTCTTGTTATTTACAATTATTTTCAATCAAATCAACACATCAATACTTTTAAGAATCTAACGAAGCGTATTAATTATATCATAAAAGTTGTCGAGAAAATGTATGTTTAGCCCTAATTTTTCAACAGCAAAACGGATAAATACATTCGTTATTACTATTGAAAATCGCGACAGGCCCTTCAGATATGAAAAACCTTAATGTACCTGAACAGATTTCCAAACGAGAAGGCATATTCGGAGGAGGGTTCGCTAGATGAACCACTTGCAGTCATCTGCCTATTGAGCCAGTCTTTCACCTGTCCTAATCTTCCTTCGTCTTTTTTCTGTTCAGAGGGTTTTTGTGGCGTAGTTGGTTGTTTAGTCTCCCTGGTTCCCCAAGAAACAACATGCAGGTTGCCGAGAGAGTAGATCATCAGAAGCATAGACATTGAAGGAATGGAGAGGAAGTAGAGAAATCCATGTAAGACACAGAAAAACTCCTACAAAGCAGTGAACATACGGTGAAAATGATGTTTAATCATGATGAAATCTAAATCAAAATTGACATGTAACAAATTCAATCTTAAGTCACATTTAATGTATACACAGAAAATCAATTGCGGCGGATGGGATTTCAGATATGGTAAACGTCTTCTAAGGAAAGTACACACAAGTGTATTGATACAAAATAAATTCGATAGCATCATTTATTCGTTATGATCGCATACAGAATACAATTTTGATACAAGGGATCCTGCAGAACACTAGAATATGACTGTAAGCAAATGTTATATTGAAGATACACTACACAAAACGTTCAAAAAAGTGGATAGCGTTTCTTAAAAGTGAACGTAAATCATAAATATCACTATATTTAAGCCACAATTCTTATTAATTTAGAAACTGTCTTCACTAGCCACGCAATTTCACTTTCAAAAGTAATACATGTGGGTGGTATGACGGCCAACTTTCTCTCTTGGTATATAGTTAGATAACTGTACGAATGCGCTCGTTGTCAAAACGTCAGTGCAGCGTAAAAGGTATTATACAACTTATTTGGGTAACACTATGGCCCAAATTAAACATCATGTCAATGTATTAATGTATCGTTTTGACAGAAATCCAGGACACGATGTTCAAATATTGGCGTCGTCTCAGAGGCATTGGTACAACAAAGTGTTTAATTTTATCATGAACCAAAGAATGAGGATGAAGCAGATGTGAATGCTTGTTATTTACATATGCGTTTTACCGGTAGAAATAATAATGATCATTTTCTGTCAAATCTCGACAATGGAAAGAAATATGGTACTGAGCAGAAAAAAAGAAATGATCGATACGTATTTTTTCAATTTGTTTCCTTTCGCGGTTGCATTGAATCCTTGATATAGACATGTTTTGAAAAAAGATACTACAGTTAGATTCTTTACAAGCATGGGCTAGTTGAACACACCTGAGGATGGAGACATGCCGACAGGACGAAGACTCCGGCCACAAATAACAGGAAGACTGAGGTGACGGAACAGAACCCAGCCTCAGCAGCTTCCTTCAGCAATCCAATAAACACGACCATCATAAGTAAGGAGTATATAGTCGATAAAATGGCAGAGTACGCCAACTGAAATAAAGATAATATAGATATGAATTGGATAGTCGGTAGCATGGCCGCATACGCCAGCTTGATTAGAAATGTAAATACGAAGTGTATAGTCGGTAACATGGCAGAGTACACCAACTGGAATGGATAATGAAGGACTGTGTTGCCGATTATAAGGATACGTACACCACTTGTTACAGTAAAGCCAGGATAAATGAAGAGTGAATAACCGATACGATGGCCGAGTAACCTGACTCAAAAAAACTAAAGAAGGTAAAATATTATATTCTCTTAATGGAATAGAGTGTGAAACTCTTTTAAAAGAAGCAAATAAATGGAAATTGGAAAATTCGAACATCTAACATACAAGTAATTCTGTTTGTACGACACGTCATTCCCTTGATCCATTTTTTTTCCTGTGAATGTAAACAGCGTTACATTTTGGTGTGAGTGTTATGTAATATAAACCATTATGACGTCATCAAGTTATAATGAAATGAAGTTACATGCCGCGAGATCATCATATGACGTAATTTTGAAGATTGTTATATTTGGGGTCGTAAGGTTTAAAAACACATAAAAGTACATTTTCATATATCTAATATCGTGAAAATGTGTTGGCGTAAGATGAGGAGCTTCCATTAGCAACAAATATGGTTATGCAAATTTGACACTTGGGCAGGACAGATATTCACTTAAATAAGTCAAAACACAACATTTTTGAACTTGTGTCATCAAGTTCAGATGACGTATAATCCTTTCTTTGCAAACAAATATTCACTTACTTGAGTTTGTGATGATGCTACAAAACACAGAATCACCATCACCACAACAGGTGCCAAGTTGAGACCAAACGCAGTCCAGATACTGATATCTGGGAAACTGGTTGTTAGTGCGCCAAGTACCATCAGGAATATGGTCCCAGGGGTTAAGATAGATGACACCATAAGAAACATCTGATAAAAGATGTACATCATTGATATATCTTCGTTCTTCCGGGTCACGTTTTTCCAGTCCATCAAAAGATCCAGTATATTCGCCATGGTTGATGGTGTCCAGCGTCTCCTCTGGTTGTAGAATTCGTAAAATCCTTCTGGAGCATAGGTCAGGGCGTCCGAAGCAGCAACATATTCTACACGATAGCCTTGTTGTAGTAGTAGCGTACATAACCAACGGTCCTCGCCTGATAAAGTAGGGAATAACTTGTGTATAGGTGTTTTCGAGGTATTCATATAAAAAAATACGTTTTATACGATTTAATACATTTTGTAGCTCTCGCTTGTTGCTGTAATCAGTTGTGTCTATCAAACGGTATTCCATCCGATTTATTCTAAAGTGTATATGGAAAGTGTCGTATTTTACTCAGACTATAAATAAGTTTTGCTTTGCTTGTTTTCTTTATATTTCATATTGATTGCGCTAGAAACACTAAACCACTTATACCACCAGTTCTGTCCATTTCTGTTTTGATTCTGTGTAACTCCCTTCAACCCCCCCCCCCCCCCCCCCCCCCCCCCCCACCCCACCCCCACCCTTTTTTTTCTTCCTTGTCCTTTTTTAAACCAAATTAACCTATGATACTTACTGGACTTAATGGGTTAGTTCTATTGTAGTTTTTGTGTGATTTGATTAGTTACCTTGATCATACTGGACATAATGCGCCGGTTCCGATGGGAGTGTGGTATATCTCTGCATTACGTTGTCGTCCATGAGAGCCTTCCCGCGGAAAAGACTGAAGCAGCCCGGACTACAGAGCACGCATCCTAACATATGTTCGGCAGCCTTCTGTAGCCAGTGACTGATGGCGTACTCAAACTTCTGATACCATACCATAGGACCTGCGAATTAGAATCATCAGCAAAATACGAAATTGAGGATTTTAATAAAAACAAGCAAAATACGAAACTGCGGAACTTAATAATACTGTTCTGTCGATATATTCAAAACAATCTTGTTCATCGTCGGTTTTACTGTAGCATTATAGTAATCTTTGAGACTACATTAAGGTTAACAAGTTCGACATTTCTACAAACTTTCGTCGAATTCATGCAATTTACTTGTATGTCATAAATATACCCTTGCTTTAAATTGTTTCCAAACGTCTCCATGAGAGCTCTTAAACAGCCGGGTAAAAACAGAATCACAACAACATGCACTAACAAAAAAATCCTTCTCACAAGTGAAATATGTGTACAAATACAATAAAGAGTAGTTTTTATTTTTATTATTCCGAAACGCGGATAGCGTGAGATTTGTTTTCTCGTAGATTGTTGGATTTATCTAGTTGATCAACTTGAGATATTCAATCATACTCACCAGAAAAAAGATTATTAAAACATCACAGTATATACCAACAACTCTGAACTTATCTATCTCACTACCATCCAATACCGTCTATTATTGTATAAAAGAAACACGGGTACGTTGCATCCTTTTGATACCAATTTAGAGTTGGATACAGTGAGCAAAAAAAATATTTAAACTGCACCATACAGCTGTTTCGCCCTTCTGGGACTCGTCAGTGATTTTAAGGACCTTAATTTTGAATCCTAGGAGGCGTCTTAGAAAATCCACTGTGTTTCAAAGAAATCTAAAAATCTAGAAGGGGAGGTGCTATAACCCCATAATAATTTGGTGTATATCTGATAACATAAGAACAACGTCAAGTACTGCAATCCTAATGAATGAAGTCTATTGCATACAATTTGAATCCCTTGACCTATTTATACATCGACCTTTTTCTATGTGGACCTATAAAGCATGTTTATATAAATGTATTGTACTTACCTGAACCTATCGGGTGAATGCGACCGCAGGCTGCACCGACTTTCGGGTTCTTCTTCATCCGGTCGACCAGCAGCTGTACCGCGGACGGCTGGAAATCCACGTCACCGTCCAAGGCCAGTAAGAAGGTGTTGTTAGCAATGGTTTCCTTTTGGCGTCGAGATTTTTGCGGGATGCTCATCAGACGTTGGCCCAGAAAGTAGTACATGTACATCACCTACATAGAAATATTTGAACAGAAAATATAGTACGACTATTCATCTGGTATACGAGTAGTTAGAACTTTTTAACACAAATTTGAATATGATAGAGTAGAGTCAAACAATGAATTAATCTATATTTTACAGCTGTGTTGCCCGTCTAGGATGCTAAGGGAGTGAGTGATGTAGAGTCAAACAATGAATTAATCTATATTTTACAGCTGTGTTGCCAGTCTAGGTCTCGTGAGTGATGCTAAGGGAGAAGTTAGAACTTTTTAACACAAATTTGAATATGATACAGTAGAGTCAAACAATGAATTAATCTATATTTTACAGCTGTGTTGCCAGTCTAGGTCTCGTGAGTGATGCTAAGGGAGAAGTTAGAACTTTTTAACACAAATTTGAATATGATACAGTAGAGTTATATTTTACAGCTGTGTTGCCCGTCTAGGTCTCGTGAGTGATGCTAAGGGAGAAGTTAGAACTTTTTAACACAAATTTGAATATGATACAGTAGAGTCAAACAATGAATTAATCTATATTTTACAGCTGCCCTTCTAGGTCTCGTGAGTGATGCTAAGGGACTTAATTTAAAACCTAGTAGACGACTGAGGAAAATCCAAAATGACCATAAAAAAATCTTAATGCTAATTAATTTAAAACCTAGTAGACGACTGAGGAAAATCCAAAATGACCATAAAAAAAATCTTAAAATCATGATGGGGAGGTTCACTAAGCCCATAGTTCAGGAAATGTCTTCAATTTAATTTTAAAACATCAAGTACATGTGTACTCTGAATCGAATTGTCTAAATCTTTTAGATGGTACTAAAGACACACACCTTTTAATAAAAATTCAAATAAGAAATAGTAGAGCCAAACAATGAATTAAACTGCATGATATGATAATCTACAAAGATTTCAACAGTCATTATCTCAAATTCAATAACACTAGAGCAAAACATAAAAAATCAAAGGATGCCAGGGAGACTCCTGCAAAACTTACAAGTAGAATAAGACCAGGTATTTCTGAAAAGTAAACGTCTCCAGTTTCATCGACGTCACCCGCCATGTAAAACGGTTTTTTACCTACACTGTGTATTACCTATATATCTGCGTAGTTATACGGTGTGGCAAGCATTTAAGGATTAAACATCTTGTCAACACCATTTTGATGATGCAAAAATTGGCTAAAATGCCACTTAGTAAAATGGATTTTGTTTTTCATTTTTCTTGCTTTAAATCAATATATTTTCCTTTGTCTATCTATACCCGTAGGAGATTATAGTTGTTGTTTTAAAATGTTACTTTAAAATCTCAAGCAACAATTTGTATTCTTAAATTCAATATGATAGCTTTGAAATAGCAGTAAGCATATTGCGATATGGCGATTTTTCAGTTGACATAATGAATCATGTGATGTTTGACACTATTTCAATGTTATGAAAAATAAAGAATAGTTACCTGGCTCCATCGCTTTCTATGACGTATCTTGGCCTTGTCTTTGAGGTGAGCGATAAGTTTGTTACCACCCGGAAGCCTCCATATAAGCTGGCCACCATATGGGGTCGGAATCTTTGTAGGAGGGGGCACATGGATAATATTGCCGTGGACTGCACTGTATTTTAAAATGCAATCGAGGTTAAATATGGTTGAGTTATCTCCCTTTTCTCAAAGATATATATTCATAGGACCTTTTCCATTTTCGTTTCAACTGCCTGTATACATTTATAAATAATATTGAATAATAAAATCTTTTAAACTTTATTTGCCCAACCATGTTGAGACCTAGAGTATAATTTTATTTCCCTCTTCTTGTCATATTTTGAATACATTTCTATCGAATTCTTTAATAACATGTTAAATTGCTGGGCATAAATACGAGTTTTTATTCTCCTTTCAAAATGACTTGGCAAACAACAAACATACAAGCATACTTAATCATTTAAAATGCTCGTTGTTGATTGATTTTCTGTTGATTTCGCGGTTACGTGTCCATGGGCCAGCTAACTTCGAAAAAATAACCTTTAGCGGTGTTGTTTGAGTAATCATTAACCAAGAAATATTTTTTTCATGAAAACGTAATTTTCAACTTTTTGTTTCTAGAGAATATGTATGATTTCAAAGAATGTTGTACCTAGCTGCAACATCCATTATTTTAACCAGCATCTTCACGTATCCATTAGCATAGTACTCCGTTCCTTCATCATCGTGGGCTTCAAATGCATCGTCAAAGAATATGTGACCTGAAATGGAACAAAAGGACAAATATTCATATTCAAATATTCCCTCCAATACATTTTCAAATGGGTGTGGAACGCCATTGTGCATAAATTGGATATTTTCAATCATACATACTAAGTTTAGTAATAAAGTACTACATTTTTCATTCCCCTACCATGTTTTGGTATCTGGTAGAAAAAAACAAATTATCTGTCTACCAGAAGAACATATTTATATGGGGGATAAACTCCATAAAACTGTCATCTTACCTACAAGCAAAAAACGAGGATAGTCATTCTGAAAATGTTCCAATGTTTACTATCTGTTCCATCAAAGGAATACTACATGGCAGCTGCAACTAGTAAGCTATAATTACAACTGACCCACTGTATTGTGACGTCACCATGCAATTGTAAGCCATTTTCCTTTCATATTGCATTGTTTAGATATTAAAGTATTTTATGAATATAATTGAAATCAATTGCTATGGAAAATGAGGGTACACTCATGACAAATCTTACATAGAAACAGCTACTGGTTTCATGAGCTTTTCCAAATAGGTCATGTGAAGTTATATCGACTTTAGTCATTTAAAAAAAATCCTATATCTTTACTTCAGTTTTATATTTTCAAGGGTACTCAAACTTTGCTGTCTTCCATAAAAATTAGTAGTACCCATGCTCAGATAATGTGTATTTTCAATTGTTTATGATGTTGTGGACACAAGATTGCGTGATTTACGAACAACCAGGAAATCAACGGAAATAAAACCGCCACAAACATTGAGAACTTTACTAATTATTATAATCACCTTCGAACTCGTAATAGTCTGGGTCTCTGATACCGAGGTACATCTGCAGGTGGCGTCTTGCGCATTGATCATCGTCCATTCTACAATGAGAATTGTTTGCAGAGAACTGTAAATACTGCTTCATACATAGGAACACTGGACTTCCGCCCACTCGTCATATTGTGTTGAAAAAATGTATTGAATGATTCAGAATTAGATATGTTATTATGGGAAGTGATATAAGTATTAACTTTATATTTTGTCTGTTATATTGGAATCTGAATTGTGTCCTTTATCTTTTTTTACAAGATATGTGTGTACCTTGGAACCCGTTAAACACTTGTCTGCGTTCATGTAATTAAGTAATCGACTAAACCTGTTCAAGAACGATGTCCAAATTCCTAATAGACTCGGTGATAAAACCTACCTTACAACCACGCTCTGTTGTATCGTTTTTTTTTTAGTATCAATGCAGTTATATCGAAGTCTCTCTAATAATCACATGCTGTTTTACCGTGGATGCGAAAATATATATTCCATTTTGTTGAAGTCTACATAACAACCATGCTCTTTTATATTATGGAGTGAATATCCGATTAGCCAATTCATTATGACTTCATACTTTACCTGAACAGAGATTTAAGTATTTGAGTCATTTCAACCTCCGTCTCGTGCCACATGGTAGCGCAAAGGTACAGAAAAGGAGTATCGTCTTTGCGTAGGAATGACCATTCTTCTTCGGCGTCCATCTTAAGATCAGCTGGGATATCCGGGATAGGGATGTCAACTTTTACCTTCTGTGGAAAAAAAAATCGTCTGAATAGCCGATTATTTTTGTGTTTCATTAAAATACAACTACTACTACTACTACTACTAACATCACTACTACTACTACTACTACTACTACTACTACTACTACTACTACTACTAACATCACTACTACTACTACTACTACTACTACTACTACACCACTACTACTACTACTACTACTACTACTACTACTACTACTACTACTAACATCACTACTACTACTACTACTACTACTACTACTACTAACATCACTACTACTACTACTACTACTACTACTACTACTACTACTACTACTACTACTACTACTACTACTACTACTACTACCACTACTACTTCTACTACTACTACTACTACTACTACTACTAACATCACTACTACTACTACTACTACTACTACTACTACTACTACTACTACTACTACTACTAACATCACTACTACTACTAACATCACTACTACTACTACTACTACTACTACTACTACTACTACTACTACTACTACTACTTCTACTACCACAACCCCTACTACCACCACCACCACCACTCCTACTACTACTACTACTACTACAACTACTACTAACATCACTACTACTACTACTACTACTACTACTACTACTACTACTAACATCACTACTACTACTAACATCACTACTACTACTACTACTACTACTACTACTACTACTACTTCTACTACTACTACTACTACTACTACTACTACTACTACTACTACTACTACTACTACTACTACTACTACTACTACTACCACTACTACTACTACTACTACTACTACTACTACTACTACTACTATAACTACTACTACCAATACTACCACTATTACGACTATTAGTACTACAAATACTACTGATAATAATTCTACAACAACGACAACATCAAGATCCCCTGCCCATGTTGATTTGTAAGATATATACAGTTATAGTGAGCAAATTGAGAAATATGGAAAGGATATCAGCCAATCAGGTCACAACAGCCTCATTAAATATGCACATAATTTGTCTATGATCCAACGTGAACAAGGGGTTATGGTAACAAGTGTAAAAAGCAAATCTCATTATAATTCATTCGTTCCTCCAAAAGTGCGGAAAACATTTGATTAAAGTGCTAAGTGATATCAGTCAATCAGGTTACAGCAGTCTCATAAAACATGCCTAGAATTTGCCGATAATCGAACATGAATATGTAATTAAGGTAAGAAGACTACAAAGCAGGTTTCCAAAAAATGTCTTAACTTCATAAGATAATGTTCATTTAGTGACTAAAGAAATCAGTAAATCAGGTCAACACAGCTTCATTAAACATGGCAAAGGGATTAAGGTAAAGAGTGTACCAACCAACCAAGTTTCATCAAAATCCCACCAGTCCTTCAAAATATATCATGCAGAAAGCAGTATCCGGAAAGACGCAAGGACGGACGGAAAGACAGACGGAAGGACGGACGTAATCCATTTGAATATCCCATAGTAGCTTTATTTGGTGGGGGAGAAAATAATATCAACAGCTAACACTTCAACAACTACTTTACTACTACTACTACTACTACTACTACTGCTGCTATTACTAGTTTAGTTTGGTAAATGGAGCGATATGAGGGGTAAGTCAAGAGCTTAGTACAAATACCTTTTCGTTAGCTGACTTAAATTCGTCGTCCACTCGCCGTCTGTTGAGAAGCATCGATTGCTCGAGAAGTGCTCCGCAGTACAAAGGTTTTACAAAGATCCTGTAATAAAAGTTACGGAGATTTTGTACCAAGCATATGATCAACGAATGGAACTACATCATACCTAATTGTTTTTCTTTGTGTTATTTGCGTTTTGTGAAATAATAGAAAAGAACTGCGAATCAATATTTCTCGCCATTTATACCTGTGTGGCTGCAACGGGAAACTTCATAGATGTAACATGGCGCTCAAATATGTTTATGATACCTGCCGTTCTAACATCATTTAATGATTATTTACCTTCTATATAGAGGTACTTCTCAGTCTGGAATTTACAACTATATATCAACAATGATATTTATTTGTAAATCTATTGCGTTATTTGAATTTCCTCTACGCGTTCTATCCCGTAGAACCAGCAAGATCTTGTTATGTACTTGGTACTTACTTTTCCGTGGCAGCAAGCCTCTCTTTACCAGGTGACCATATATGGTTAGTGATCAGAAGTAGCGATGCATACGCTAGAATCCCTGCAATTATTGCATATTTAAAGAAGTTGAACTCATTGACCACAATGCTTGCGTCTCCTTCCCATGTTGGGAAAGGGATAGCACAAATGCCCAAGGTGGAAACAGTCGTACTAGAATAACTCCCGAATAGCAACGCGATTGTCACAGGCGTAGATAGCGCAATCGGAAGAGCATATCCAACCTTGTGGGCCAATATTTTGCATGCTGCCTTGGCCACTTTGAAGCAGATTATATCTGAGAGAATGTTAGTAACGGCTATCAACAAAGGTAGATACCAGCAAGTCTCTTCCCTGCCGTCATGTAGTCGGATATCTTCACCAAATGGGGTGTTCATGTGGGGATCGCCATTTTCCGGAAAATGATAAAAGACAGCGTTAATGCACGAAGTAGTCGCGTTACAGTTGATACCGAACAAGAGCGAAGGCATCACACTGAATGTCAAAACCAGTTTCCACAGCATAGTCAGTAGTCCGATTTTTGTCCGCCCGCGTGTGATCATTCTCTTCAAATATGGCAATCCCGACGAGTCCTTGTCACCTTTCCGTACGTAGTTTTCCCAGTAATTTATCGATATGAATATAGGGGAGACAATCATGGCGATAATGAGGAAGAGGTCCCCAGAAGAATTTTCCGAGACACTGTGTACATACAGAACCCAAAACACCAAACTTGCGATTTGTAAAACACTTGATCCAAAGTTCAATAATCGAGCAAAACTGACCGACTTAGTTGTCTCCACCTTCTTCACAGTTCTAGAAGGATAGAAAATTTTTAATATTCCTGGAAGGAGGCCAACGTTCATACACAGCAGACAAGCAGCGATTGGTTCAAAACTTGGTAAAACAAGAAACACGAAAAAGGACAAGCCAATCGTATGGAGCGTCTCGGTCACCATTGACTACAAAAAAAAGAAATAAAACAAATTACGAAACATTATAATTAAATCAGCATACAAAAATGTTATTGTCTACATGATAGCAAGTGTTTAGGTACTATCAACTCGAAAAATCTTATACTGAATCGTTGACTTCTCACTTTACTACAAAGAAGTTCCTTTTTGACAGAGACACATGTTGATTTCAATAACTATGCACAAATTTTCATGTTTATATTCATATATGTTCTTAATGCAACCGACATAACCCTTTTTTAGTTAATACAAAACATTCTGCTGTTTACAAGGTATCATGCCAAGCGTTCCAAGAATCATGACAAATATTTACTCTATGGGTGGTTATATCCGTGGGGGTTTTAATTCAATTTGACTATATTCGTGGTCAGTAAAAGCAGTGCAAAATTAAGAAGCCAGCAATTTTTTTTTCAGTGAATCCGAGTCCCGGAAAATGTCTGTCATCATCCTTATATTTGTAAAATGGGACATGAAATGAGCGAAATTTAATTCTCGAGAACTTGCGAAACCAGCAAAATATTAGTCTCCCGAATATAAACAACTTTACAGTAATACTCACCGCGAGGAATGGGTAGCATTGTAACTTTCCAGTCTTCTTGAAACACAATCTCCACAGGTATTTGCAAAATGTGAAGAAGTATGGTGCTGACAAAACCATGTTGAAGGCCCACACCCATGTCACGTTCAATGTACCTCCATTGTTGTATTTCAATCTGCCATTGAATGTTTTGTGTGCGGCATTTACCGCTTGATCACTAGGCGGGAAAATGTTTGACGCCATCATGACGAAGGTCAGTTTTGACAACACGGAGAAAAAAAGTACGACTGCAAACATGATGAAGAGAATGATGATACGGGCGATGACAGTACATTTATTCCAGCAGACTATCTCTGAACTCGACACGTTATCATCAGAACCAGTTCGAAATACATCCCAAAACATTTTCTTCCTAGAGCCAAAAAGAAAATCATGAAAAAGATGAAGAGAGTACAGCAATGATAGGTTCAGAAGATTTTTTTAAACTAACTTCGAAATAGTCGAACATGTTTTTTATCTCGATAAAAGAACACTATATAAAGACGTTGGTTTGGAATGCCTCTATCAACATACACTTCCAAGCCAAAAAACATCAAATCAAGTGTTAGATTCGAAACAATTTTTATATTCTGATTATCTAAAATATAAACATTTAGTTCAGAATACTTGAAAAACATGTTTTTTTCGTAGAAACACATATATATACATATATATGTCAGAACGTCCGAAACGTATTCCTTATTTAGAAAAATCAAATATAATAACTCGAAGTATTTTTCAATATAACAAAATAAAATATCAGTGATGAAAACGTGGATTGCGATTTCATACAACAATGTACGCTTGCGACAATATCGATCAATGCTACAGGCCGACTAGAACAGTTAATTTTACACAACCGTTTTTGACAGGGGGAGGCGGCAACTTGTAACGTGTTGAAAAAGCGACTTAAATGTTTCCCGTCCATGATAAGACAGTTAACAGATATATATCCATCACTACCATTATTGTCTACATCCTTATTTAGTTCTTTAGGTAACATTAAATCACATTAATGGTTCAAATTCAGGCTTTTAAATGTAATAATAATTCAATGGACTGTTTGAACCTGCAGCCTGTCCCACCACAAATGGACATATTTTGACCCAGTCTTGTAATATCTTGTGGTACCTAATTGTACTTTATAGTTTATGTTACTGCTCTGGAACTCAATAATACAAATGATGGTGATGCCTATTTTCTACATTCTTATTCCTAATATTATTATTATCTGTTATCTTTAATTTTGATTGATGTGTCTGTATACTTGTTTATGCACTGTAAGGAAAGGGCTTTCATAGGCTCTGCCTGTTGCCCAATTCCTATTGTCAATACCACCAAGACAATAAAATATTCTGAAATCAAAAATAATAATTTTGGTTTCGCAGAATGGTCTGCTGACAATCTTCAGAAAAAAAAACAAATAAAAACATGTCTATATTGATTTGATTTTGTATGTCAGTTCGTCAGGTGACATGAGAGGTTGGAATTAGAGCAAAAATGTTGATATAATAAGAAATTTAGCAACAGAAAACCTAAAAAGAACTAAATGAAGACAAACCCTACGTACTAGGCCAATGAAATGATACCGTTTCTCTAATTAACTAAAATATCTTTCTGACTTAACTTAACGTAAATGATAAAATATGGTATATTACTGCTTGTCAGAATTAAAATTTACTCAAAGGTTGCTGACTATAGAAATAGGATTTAAGAACTTAAGATAATTATGCCGATCGATATCAGTAATAATCAATTCAGTGTTCCTTACTCTTTGGTGGATTTTCTTTGTTGCTGTGCCTCCCCGAGTGGTTCTTGTGAAACGTCTGCCACCGTTTCCGTTTCATGATTCTCTCCAAAAACTTCGTCACTCAGATCATGCGATGATGCATCCGAGTCTTCCGAATCCTCGTCTTCATCTCTGGTATAGGCTGGGTTTACGTGACCATTCGACATACCTGACAACGGGACGGAATCGTTGTCAGGAACCTGTGTGGATATCCGGGGAAAAAAGCTCCCGGTAGGCTTTAGCTGGGAATATAAAAAAGTATACAGGATTAATGTAATGTGTTACATTCACTCAGTAAAATGTGTATTCATCCCGCTCGTCAACCTTCTGGTTTGGAAGAGCAATACAAAGAAAAGAAGCTCTGCGTCAAGAAGTGGACGTCTTTTTTTCTCGCTTTTTAAAATCTTACTCTTTGATTGACTGATTTATTCTTCCTTCCTTTCATTTTTTGGGAGGGGGAGGGAGGGACTGTTCTCGTCTTGTTGTGAGCCGCGTCTCCTTTGGTTAGCATGATGACCTTAATATTGTTGATTGTTGATGTACTATGAGCCGTGCTCATTCAGTATGATTAGGGGTTCCTGCTCGAGGTATATCAGCCACCAACAGGTATTTTAGTTTAGACCGTAAGCTTTCTAGAACAGTCCTAGATGATGCAGTTAAATTTATTGTATGACATTATTAAATCTAATGCTAAATTTGTATCTAAAACCCGCTTTTCACTTCGTATAGGGTATAACCTTTATAAATGAATAAGTGTGCTATCGTTCTGTTTTCTCTATAAAAAAATTGCACTAAACATCACATTTAAGAAAACTATTAATAAACAAAGAAGGTACTCACTAACCACATGAATTAGGTAACGAAGCCAACATGAAATGAAAATATAGCGTAGGGTATACAATTTTTTATCTAGGTAAACGATATCTCCCTCAATATCCGTACTAGCTATAGGCTAAAATGAGGTTCGACTATATGTCGGAATGTTATATCAGTTTATATACTAAATATTAAAGATCGAAAGTACCCGGCCTTTATCTATATCCTGGTCTGATTTATGATAATGACGATATGGATTTTATTACTATTTACCTACTTGAGAATATATGACATTAGGGAATATCTTGCGGGTGGGTGGGTGGACAGATAACGGACACCAACTTCAGCGATGTCCATGAGTGATGTCCTGTATCATGTTTTTAAAAGTGTACTTCAATAAGGTTTTCACTTATCACCATATTATACAAAATCACGACCACAAACATTCAAATGAATAATTTTTTTTGTTCTGTGACCTTCTTATCCAAGGAAATTTATTTTCAGCTTTATTTATAAAGCATCAGTACCTGTTATCTAAAACAAACACCGACACTCCTTATAGCTTTGTACAGTTTTCAAGGGTGAAATCATTACTTTGGCTTTTATTATTATATAAATTCCACGGTTTTCCTTTCTAACGAGATATCTGCTTGCTTAACACAATAATAGTACATGTTACACTATTTCGTGACTATAAGAGTAGACTTCTATAGAGAGGTTTCATCCCATATATCCTAATCCAGTGATAAAATTATGTTCTTTTCAGCACAGACATATATATATCTTGTATGCCAAAGGTGAACAAAGATAAAAGTGGTGTCATAATAGATATTGTATTAGAGTTAACCCATCACATCAAAGGAAGGGAAGTACCAATCTTTCAGCGTAGTCATTGTCGCAACCTGTCGAGAAATTCTCAGCAGGATGCAATGCTTAAGGGCTTCGCGATGTCAGCATGACTGGTATTGAAGAATGATTTATCCTAGCTGTTGTCATGTTGTCTAGTCATCCCTTGAAATAGTGCTTTCCACTATCCTTGCTGTGTCAAAAGCATCACAAGTTCACTTTACAAATCATTATTAAGTATTCTCACTTATCTTTATTTATCTATTTATTTGAAATTATCAACTCATTATATATCTATCTTGCTCATGTCGATTCTGATTATTATCTTAGCCTTTCCAAATTCGTTTTTTTTTTTGTCAGTTGGTCGATGACGGATTCTTGAGAAACGAAATGTCTGCGGTAAAATTTGTTATATTGGCATATGATATAGGCTACTAATTAATTAGCAATATGTTTCTATATATTATTGAAACTCTCCATACTTTCCTTTAAAAAAATATTTATTTTCAATATGATATTATGAACTCATTTCATATTTAGGTTTCCCATGTCGATTCTGATTGTCCTGGCCTTTTATATATTTATTTGTCAGTTGCATTAATTGCGAGTCCTTGAAATATGAAATATCTTTGATACAAAATCATTCGCAATATCCATCTGAGTCTGTGCATTGTTAAAGTTTGCCAATCTTTTTAGATTGGATGAGATTAACACGAAAACCACCAAAAAGGAATAGAAAAATAACAGAGAGGTTACGGGAAAACTGGAGACAAGGGGTGGAGGGAGTGGGGGTGGGGGAGGGGGTTAAAAGACCATTAGCGGTGACTACTACCTGGTATCTCGAGGATTCTACAAAATACACACAAGCTAAAAGCATATTTTCTTATAAAAGTAAAACAATTTTGATGTTTAATAGTACTTTATAAGTAAAAACATAACATCATGCTCGATTGTACGTAGGTCATGTTAACATCTCTTTCCATGGACCTCGGATTCTTCAAAGTCAAGTTTTTTACAAAGTGAAGTTCTGTATAAACAGGAATAAATGAAGCTGTTGACGTTACATTTTTTCTATTTCATCAATCTCTAAAACATGGAAATCGTAAACAATAAATTAGTCTATACTGAAGAAAAATGCTCAATATTTAAGTAGATATTACCAGATATAAAGTATTGAAACAGTGTTTTTTTCAGTCAGCTGAAGATGAAACAAGAATCTCAAAGGATTACAATTATCAAGAGAAGAGTAGGCGTGGCTAAATAGGCGTGGCTTAAACCTGTACAGAAGGCACACAAATGAATAGAATAATTTCAATAGAAATATAGAATTAGATACATTATTGCCATGTAATGAAATAAACTGGCATCATACACTGGTTTCGTCCCTGTCGGACTCGTAAGTGGTGTTAATAGGTGACTGAAGGAGAGCAAAATTAACCATATGTGTGCAATCCCCGAAGACTTACTTTCATTTATAGTGTCAACAACCTGCAATCTCATGGATTGTACAAGGAGTCATTAGGTCATTTGGATATAAATTTCGAAAGTAGAGCCAAATAATGAAGTAACAACTGCATCGTACAGTGTTTTCGTCCTGATAGGCTGAAATCTCAAAACATTAATTAAAAAACCTGGCAGCTCAGAGGGCGGAATTACAGTAACGTTCTCAAACATTCTTAATTGGTCGTTGCATACATCATTCATAATAAATATTACGTTATCAAATATAATTGTTATCGATGTACGAGTCTGAATGAACTAAGAGATGGAATACAATTTACAGGAATCCTTTGAAACTGATGTCTAAAATTTGTGCCTACCACCTGCGAATGTTTACCTCATACAAGAGACACAGCGGGAAGACACACAAGTAAATTTATACACAAAAGTCAAGATGTGTGGAACGTGCTTTGGTTCTAAATCAGGATGCCTTTGTACTAAATCTTGACTTTTGGAAAACGATTGGGTCCTAAACCAGGATTTTGGGAACGTGCTTTAATCCTAAAATCGATGTAGTATGATTCTAAATTTCGATGTGTGTAGCGTGTTTTGACTTTAAACCGTGTGTGAAAGATTTAAAGCTACAAAATAAATTTTGTATGATAGGTTTAGTGTTATGTAATCAGAAGGAAAACTTTCTTGAAATCACATATGAAATCCTCATTAATCATCTTTACATACTACCATAATAGTGTACTCAGGCTTTAATTATCCCATATAAGCATGTTTTCAATAGTTATCATCCTTCCTTATTGCAGTAAGATGTGTAAGATTCAGGATACTCAAACGTTAATCACTTGATAACCCTCTTACGCATTTTATTGCAAAGTCACAGTGATATATTTCCCATATCTTATAAATTCATAAATCAATCCCGCAAAGTTTGATAACATTATGAGTGAATTGTATACGGCGAGTCTATTGCAAATGAGCTAGGTCGTCGAGAAAAATTCTTCACGTTATCGGCAAGAATACCACTGTAGACTAGGAAGTGACACGGGGACGCATACAACTAATTTGCAATAATTATAGAATATACATGCTGGTGCACTTCCTGAAAGGATAACAGTAAGGTTACACTGAGAAGTGTTTTAGTCACGTTGACATTTCTGACAGTAGCGAATTATCTGACACTTAGAAACTTTTGTGAGAGGATTGGCCTGCATTTTAAGACATTTACATTTAGTTAACGATTTTTTTATCTTTTTTTTCTCTGTTCTGATATCGTGTACAGGCTATATTGATCTGATAAATCAATACATATAACGGCGTAAAAATACTCTTCAGGTAGTTTTATATGCAATATGCAATATTTAAATCTAACATTTTTTCTGAACGTTTAAGAATGAGAACGAATTATCAAATGTAAAAACAGTTTCAAATAATATGATAGTCATTACAGCAATTTAACATGTAAGTTATCAGGATCGTCAAAAAATCACAATTTATTGCATCTTTTATTTCAATTTAGGATTAGATAGAGCAGAGTAAAAAGAATAAAAGAAAAAAATGTATCATTCAATTACTTTGTCTTTACAGGACTCTTTAGTGATGATAATGGCCCAAATTTTGAAGCCAACAAAGCAATGGAGAAAATTTAAGGTGATCGAAACAATGTCACAATTTAGATGGGGAGGTGCAAAGGCATTTTAAATTTCAATGGTTAATGTCTGGCAACACTACTGTACAGATATGAACACTTTATATTGTTACGTAATAAACAAAGGGATCAGTAATATATAGCGTTATCATACTTCGAATTGTCATGGGAAACATCTCCTTCATATCATGACAAGCAATTTAAGATCATAGGGCGAATATCATGGCGAACCGAAGTGTTTTACAGCAAATGTTCTTTTATCAAAATCCACACTGACAAATTATACCGACATATTGAAAGTTGCATTGTTAACAGTTCCGAGTAATATGCACAATTTTTAACGTCTCTTTATGTTAAATATGTTAAATACATTTTATACCAGGTAAAACTACGACGAAACCGCTTTATCGTAAGCAAGGACATTTTAGCCACCAAGCAAAATTCTGCTGATATCATTCTTGTAAAATGGTGATATAATGT